CATCAAAATTAAATGAAATAAACATTTGAAATATATTGAGTTTGTATGTAATGTATGAATATAATATCCAAGTTTCACTTTTTAAATGGAATTACTGAAATAAATCTACTTTTTCATGATATTCTAATTTTATGACCAGCAACTGTATGTGTGTGTTCTCCAGTTAAAGATACTTGTGTACTTTCAGAAACACAGTATGGTTAGGCCTGTCAAGATAACAAGCAACAGACCCCACCACCACATGGAACTTGTGGAAGTTTGTGAAATAAAAAAGAAAAAAAAGTTGAAGCTGTAACACCACTACCCACCTCTATCCAAGCCAGCACAATTTATTCTTAATGTCTTCCTCAAGCTTTTTAAATTTTTGTGGTCACCTTCGTGCTGCTTACAAAATTTACGTTGCGCAAAAAAAAAAAAAAAAAACTCTAAGCAAACCCAAGGTTCAGCAAGGTGCTCTGCAGGCATCCTGAGTAGCTAAATACCTGTTCACAGAGCTCTCATGCTACAGAGGTTATGAGACCATGCGCCTGGAAAATACCTCACATAGGAGTTCACACCTTCCTACACTAACAGCTAGAAAAGAGACACAAAGAAAACAAACAAGTAAATAAATAAAAATGATCCCCCTAATTTAAATTTATCCTGTGATTAACTGATTTATTGCTCACCACAACAGCCATGGCTTATAGAGTGCCTGATGGGAACAACTCAAGCACAGACACAAAGATTGAATCATTTCCTCAAACCCAGTAGGCCGAGATGAATTTTGGCGGGTCGATGCTTGATGTCCTGCCCCGTCACAAGAGCAACAGAGAAGACAAGAATCCCAGAATAGAAACAGGCACAGAGGGGAGCTGACAGGCCCTAAGTCAGCCCCGTCATTAATCACAGGTACACAGGGAGATAGGAATCACCCCTAGGACAAAAACTGCATAAACGTCCATGGTATGGAAGATGAGAAATGGTCACCACTATGGTGAGTGTAAACATCTTGTACACAGAGGACAAAATCTGATTCTGAAGACTAAGAGAAAGTGACTCTTTACGTAAGAACGCACAGGCGCTACAACTCTCCTCACCTCAAAGGGCCTCTCATCAGTGTGTGTCCTCATGTGAACACTGAAGGTGGATTGGTAGGAAAATTCCTTYAGGCAAATCTCGCAGTGGAAGCGGGGTCGGTTTTTGGACTTGGAGAGCGTTCCTTGGAAATGAGCCAGCACATGCTCCTCCAGGGTACTGTTGGAGGTAAATCGGCGGCGGCAGGGCCTCACTGGGCATTTCAGAGGTGTCTGGCCTGTGTGCGACAATCGATGGAGGTCGAGGCCTTCTTGAGTCATGCAACGGTGGCCACAAAGGTCGCACTCCATCTGTGGGAGGAATAAAAGCAGAGATGGGATGGTGATAAACCAAAGCTAATGAGATGAAAATCTGAAATGAAAGCAATGTCCTTGTGGTCAAACTGTGACGCAACTACAAAGTCATTTAACTGGAGACCTGCGTTATATCACATTATCTTTCACTAGCCCCTCTCTGTCCTGTCAATGAAACAAAACAATAATTAAATATTTTTTGTTTTGAAAGCTGCATCGAATTGTCATACCTGTCCAGTGGAACGTCCACGGCCCTGCCCTTGTCCACGGCCGACATTCTTTTCATCTTCGGTGACAGGACAACGCTGCAGGTGACAATCCAGCACGGACTGGTTGATAAACGGGGATGAACAGTGCGGACATGCCACCGGCTGCTTGTCTGTAATGGAACAGAGTCGAGCTTCAGACAGATGCTCATTTGCTCTCGCACTAAAAGCTGCAGTGTTGTYATAAATATTTGAAGGCTGATCCGAGTGTGCAGATTGTTAAAGGTCAACCCGACAGTCCCCTAGTGACRGACAGTAAACGAAACGGCTGATGAACAGTAAAAAACATTCATGATGCTATTTTTTCTGTCTCAACATCAGATATTTAAAAAATGAACACAAAGACAGAAATGAACTGAGCATATGACTCCCAAAAGATGCAGAACATGGCCTTGTGCTCTGAAACATCTGGTCAGTTAATCATCTGATCCACCTATAAAAACGTGGCTGTCAGTACACTCTTTTGTTATGCATCAATATTGAACGGAACAGGAAAACATGTGTTGAATCCAGCTGTTAGGGTATGCAGCTTTTTCCCTGTGGACGCCCCAGTGACTGATCCACGATAAATAGTTAATTACACGACATCATTACAAATCCCAACTAAGTAACATGTCTGTCTGGTATTTTCAATTGTCTAAAACTGAACATTTTTATTTAAGGTGAAGCTGAAAATGGGGCACACAAAGATAAACACACCAAACCTTTGTGCACACACACATCGAATCAAATAATAATCATTCACGAGAGGGAAAAACTGTTGCTTTACAGCTGATTGATTAATCAACATCTCAAAGTGCTTCAGGGACGTTTTCCCCATAAAAAAACCTACCTGTAGGAGCAAGTAATGACTTTTTGAACAGACATTTGCATTTGTCTGTGGAAAAGAGACAGAGGATTTCTAATCAATATCTTATTTTACAAGCTTAGAATTCAAGATGGCTAACCTGACAACAACCCTGCAGCTGACTCAAGTGTTYGAAAGAAAATACATTCATGTGTTTTTTGGTGCGTTATACTTGTTTTACATGTAGTTAAAAGTGCATAACTGATCTGATGTTCTCAACTAGGGATGCTAACAATTAATCGACTTATGATTAATTGTCGAATAATGGTTTATTAGATTAAAATTTCTTCCCATCGATTAATTGAAAACATCAGTTTAAACCTTATTTCGGTGTAGTTTTGACTTCATCCAGCAGAGGGAGCTGCTACTTTACACTGGCCCTGTTAAACTGAGCAGGAAGCCGTCTCAATGTGGGCGGGACCGCAAACGTGTGAGTCTTATTTAATTTTATTTGCGACACCACACTAAGAATGGACTATACCAAACTGGAAGGAAAAGTACTGAAGGCTGTACCGGAYCAACCAGCAGTATGATGCTAAAGACAAGAGAGCAGGAAGACAGAGAATGATAAGCTAACTTTAGCTAACGTTAGCTTCATCTTGTTGAGTTTTAACTCTGTGTGAAACAAAAAAAARGTTACAGTTGCTACAAATATTCACTTGAAGTTGATCTAATCTGTCTGACGTAACCCAGCCAGTAAACCAATCTAATAAACAGTAACTGACGTCAGATCATGCCGTGTAGCCCAGCTAATCTAGAACCGGAAGGAATGTAAACAAACAAACAATTGCCAGTACTCATTTGTATCTCACGTCTTTCAGGGATAATTTATTATGTTCTTCATTTGTTTTTGAGTTAATCTTTATCTTAAAATATTACCCTGTGTTTAAATTATAGTTTTTCATCTTCAGGGAGTGTTTTACTTATTTTATTCTTTCATTTTTTTCCAACTAGCAACTTAACAGATTCATGTTTTGTTATATTTTATAAATATGTCCAAGTTTAATAATGTGAGAGAAATCCACATTTCTCTGTTCATTCAGTCAGTGTTTACTCACACAGCTGGCACAATGAATTGTTAAAATAATACTGTACTTTTTTATTTAGTGTGTAAAAATTAGCCCTTCATTTTATAGAAAGACCCTTGATTCAAGAGAAATRTCAGGTTTTTAGGAAAATGGCCGCTTTATCAATTAATCGTTAGTTCATCGATAAGATCAATCAACTTTAGATTTTAATCAATAACTTGCATCCCTATTCACAACACATTTTCTTTCAGGACATGGCAACAGCTACTTCATTTAAAAACAATGAAATATTTGACTGCCATAAAGTTTTAGCTTTTCATCACTTTTAGATTCAAGTTCCTGTAGGTGCTGAAAAATATAGTAGAATTTTTTTATTGTGTTCTTTCTTGATTTAATTACTGATTTGATTTCATTWCCAACCAGCAAATCAAAAAGTTGTCTTATTTCATTTTTGTCTGGTAGAAAATTCATCAACTAATTGATTCGTCTCTATACAGCTGGTGCCCTAGTTCCATTTTGGCAAAGCRAACCAAACTCTCGCTGGGTCGTTCTAGAAAACCTGGCAGAGAAGAGCTGACATTGATGGTTCATCAGCGTGTCCAAAGGCCATCATGCCAATATCTTGCAATCTGCTAACCATCTGTACCATGTATCCCATTAGAGCGATCCACTCTGCTCCCCACTSGACCCTCTAATTAAACCTTTAATAAGGACAACCTCAGTTCATAGCGTCGGACTGATCAATAGATCAATCTCTCCTATCATCTTTTGCAGAGACTCGTACCTTTGACCTCTGCTGGACGCTGACTCCTCAAGCGTAACTAATGAGGTTGCTGTGCCAACACCCCCGATTAAGATGAAGTGTCAACATGWTGACCCAGTTCATTTACCCCCGCCTTGCCTCTCCACTTTGCATGGCACACAAATCAATTGGAAGTCTGAGAGCTAATRCATCAGAGGAACCATGTACATATACCATGGATGAAGGTGTATAAACAAACAAAATGGGCCACCCAGGCAAGCCGGTGTGCTCATTTATCAGCGGCTTTGCATTAATCAATAGTAATTCAGTGTATGCTGTACTGATAAGAACATCATCTCTAATCGGTTTTCATTACAGTGAGGAATGAGGTCGGCTTTTGTTTGATTTCTTGTTATGCTCTTCAAAATTTGTCACTTTTCCAAACTGCACGAAGCCACTAATCTAAGAGGAAGATGAACAAGGTTACACAGAAGACGATGATAGTTTTGCAAACAGATGTTTGACATAAAGAAATAAAAAACACATTCTGGTGTAGACCATCTACATCCAGCAAAGCAAAGAAAATATCATTTGAGTGATACATGTCAGGCTGAAACCACATCTGACCTTGATGTATGAGAGAGTGCAGGTCCAAGTCTTTCCTGCGTTTGAAAGCCTCTCCACAGTCGGGACAGGGGAACGGATGGTTAGTGTGGAGCAATCTGTTGAAAAAGAAAACTTATTAGAACATAATCACAGAGACACACTTCTATCTCTTAAAGCCATGGGTCCCAAAGTTGGGGTCGTGCGGTGTCTTGAGAAGACATAATAAACAAACTAACTTTCAAATCAATTTCTAAAATATATTTAGCCTTTGCGGGTACAAATAAATAAAAATAGCTGCCATAAGTGCATTAAATATGTACTGAATATATAATGTTGTTAGGATTACCAGTGTCTGTAGCTTTTATTTTGTTTGTCAAAAGCAGAAACACTTGGGAACCATTGCCTTTAAGCACAGATATGTTCAATTTTAAGCCTAAAGGGGGAAAAAATATTCAGCTAATTACGGCTCTTTGTATAAAGACTAATAAATAAAAGTTCTAAATTAGAGACTCATAAAATGCTTTRACAGAAGTCATGTTTTGCTTTTTACTGCCACTGTACACTCATGGGAGGATTACCAGTGAGTGTGTACTTTAGCTGTACTCCRGTTTGAATGAGCGGTATTAGCAGAGTGTATAACAGCTGAAGATAAAAGAACAGCAGTAAATTGGGAAGAATCGAAGTTAGAACATGAAAGACTATATTTATCCACTGCATAACKTTACACTCAGTATAGCCTTAGGGGAGAAGTATTCAACTAATGCTGCATCAGGCCTGATATCACTGTGTGGGAAAATGTTGCTGCTCATAATCAGAACAAGCATGGGTGATGTTTTAAATTTCAGATCTTTCCATGAATATATACAAACTAGTAGGTACATAAATCATTCTGAAATGAATCACCCTGCTTTATCCAAGTTTACTGCAACAGCACAGAGCCACACACTTATAAAGCAGGCTGCTAAAGGCAATGTGGAAGGCCCCTTCAAGGTGAATGCAAGAAGCCAGACTGTTAAAAAAAATAAAATAAAATAAAATAAAATAAATCAATATTAGGGACAGCTGACCATGATGCAACTGGGAGAGTCTCTTGTGTGCCAGATGTTTTCTGATGAAGAGGACTGGCAATAAATATATTCAATGTCTTAATAYAAGAGTGACTGAGTGGTTTATTTTTCATTGCTCTGATCATGCTCTAATTATTTAGTTAATTTATTCATTTTAAATGCAAATTTAATTACTTTTTGGATTCTAATTGGAAACAAAACTACTACTGAGGTACATTTAATTTCACAATGCTGTTATTTTCACTTGTAAATAAATCTAATTATGTTTTTTTTACACCTGTGAGCTTTAAACCTTTAACTTAAATCATAAAGAACTTAGTTACATTGGATCATCTGAGAAGAATTTACTGGAACATGTTTGGAAAAGGTAAGCAGAAAATAAAAAGTAAAAAAAAAAAAAAGGCAGAGAGGCAATTGAGTGAATTATCCGTCTGCTGATTGTGGACTTGTTTCAACTAATTAGATCAATAGAGTAGAGCCAATTGATGAAGTCACAGTTCTGTCAAACTCAATTGGGAGAAGAATAAAAAAATGCACTTAGAATAACCTTCACTTTCTTTCTAATTTAACTCTAAGCACCAAGTATCTACACCCAGGTTCCTACACAGTCTCCATTTTTTTATTTCAGTACTTTCCTGACTGAAATTTACATATTTTCTGAAAATTTAAGGGCTGTTTTAAGTCCACTCMTCTCCTGTAAATGCACAGTACAGACTGTACTACATGATGAATAGAGAAGAACCCCTCTGGAGGAAAAAAAAAAACGACGTTGGTACCGTAAATATTTTTCTGTGCTCTGCTTTCCCTTTTCCATACCTACCAAGTAGGGTTGGGCAATATTAGAAAAAAAACTTACAAATAATTGTGCCATTTAGCCGATAATGATTAATGTGATGATTAATAGATGATACTGTTTTGTATGATGTATAGGGATGGGTACCTTTGACATTTGAATCGATTCGGTACCAATATCCGGTACCTGGGAATCGATACCGGTACTTAACGGTACCAATTTTCGGTACTTTGTGTGTGTTGTTTTTTTAATAATAAACTTTTATTTTTTTAAACATATTTCTCAATACATAAAATTAACAAATATCAAGACAACATCCAACTCTTTGTATTGTAACATCAATTGTGTAACTTATTTCTTTAAAGTGCAAACTCTTGAAAACAACAAGACTGTTTTGTCTTATTGCACAAATTAAAATCCAGCTCCACGTATTTCTATTGATGTCATTTYCCCGCTAGAAAAAATGTGTGATGGAGGTCCATGGAAGGCAAATAAGTTTAAATCAAATAAGCAAAAGAGGATGGAGTTAAAACAAATAAAAGGTATCAAGCTACAAAACACACCCAACGCTTCAAGCTGAGTGCTTGTGCTCTTTCAGGTCAGACGTGTTCGGACTGTTGGAAAGCGCCTCTGTTGTTTTCCTCYGCCGGTCTCTGTTTAATGGCGGATGAAATAAAGAAAATGGTGGTACTTTATTTACTTTGAGCAAGCGAACGTCGTGCTCACWAGATAATTAATCCACCAGATTGGTGCTGGGCGGTATGACCAAAATTTTATATCACGGTATTTTCAACATTTACACCAGTTTCACTGTATTTTTCTTTTCATCACAGGTCAGCTGATAATAAAATGTACAAACAGTGCTTATTAACTTTTCTCTTTTACTGTACCCCTGTCTGCCTGTGTCTCTGTTTCCCTCCTCTAAATRTCTTTTCTTCTCCTCCTGGTTGGAGACAGTAGTAATATATTTTGGTCCAGTCGTGAAGGAGGAGGGTTAAGAAAATATTATTATCGGGTCTATTGTTTTATGTTATTTAATAAAGATTAACAGCATGACACACCTTGCACACCAGTCAACTCAATTCCACTACAAACTACTTCCCTCGGGCTTTTCACAATGGAAGCACACTAAAGTCTCCATGCGTCTCCACGTCTCCATATTAAAGTCGCATGTTTAATCTAACCGTGCACATCACTGAAGAGGTGTTTATTACATTCAGCGACGGTGAAAACGGGATGTTTTTTTTAATGTCAGTCAATATAAGTAGCGGAATTGCCACCTGCCGCTACAACAAACTGCTCAACAATAACATTAGCAAGCTAACGCACATAACGGTGCAGCGAAGAAAAATGTCCCCCGGGAAACAGTTCACTGGCGGCTGCGACGAAACGTTCCGCACGTGTTCAGGCTGTTTAAACCGGTATGTCGGTATTCAGAAAATTCATATCATAACAAAAATAAAAAACAGTATTCGGTACGAACTGGTATACCGCCCAGCAGTACACCAGATAATTCAGAGGCGGTCTGTTTGGCGAGTTTTACTCCAGGAGCTGCGAGGCTTTCAAGCTACGTTCAGACCAAGCTGTGTTTACTGAACTAGCGGCTGCTGACATCATTAAGCTCTTACGCGATGCTGCGTTTAGGACAAGCATGGAAAACTCACCACTCTTATGCCAATACAGTCACACTGATGCRTTTAGGTACCGAAACATGGTACCATTTGATGTCACGTGAATAGATACTCGGTAGTACAGACAGAATTCGGTCTGTAATTAAAAAGGTATCAAATTCGGTACCCATCCCTAATGATGTATGCTTTTGACTTTAAAATCGGTTACCCTGTGTTCTAAAATTATAAATTATCAGTCAAACTAACTTCTTCATTCAGGTTAAATTAGTAAGCTGTGAACTGAAACCCACCTTTTCCATAATGTGGAGTGGGAGCATATCTTTAGGAACACAATATGCCAYAGGCTCACATGCATGCTTGATAGTAAGAGTGCCTCACACACAAACATACTTGATTACATGGGCACTAATTGCAGAAATTGCAATGTGGCAAATACTAATTCTTGACAGTTTTTCTGGAGATTAATTGCACAAAATACAATTTTGCAAAAGCCTACTATCCACTTAAAAATACTACAACAAAAACTAAGCCTGGAAAGATCAGTATTTTCCAAGAATGAAGCTGCTTTGCAAAGTAAAAGAAACAACTCTCAGCTTTAAGTGTTTAAGCTTTATAAACCTGTTGTTCAGCAAAATCTAAAACCTACTGAAGTTTTCATAGAATAACACAACAATGGGTCATAAACGGTGGCGCTCCTCATTTGTCTCACAACTGCCGTGAGTCTCTGCTGTGTCTGGAAGTCAGCGTGAAGACAAAACTATAATCCAGATGAGTTCAGTAGCTTTAGAGGTAGGCTTTAATGTCTTATTTTATTCTTCTGACTCAACATGACACTTGATTTAAAGATGGGACATTTCACAGCAAGTGATTAGGTTTAATTTCATAGCTTTTGCATCCACAACAGTTTTGTTTTTTACTGCAGAAAAGGTTATTAAGTCAAGAGCATCACAGCATCTTACAACAATAAAAAAATACAATGTATGTTAATTTTTTTCCCCAGACTACTCAGCCAGGTAAAATAAGACCAAGCTTGTCCAGCATCCAATAGGTTATTATCATTATCATCTTAATTTACTGAGCCTCTGAATGTCAATCATATGCAGCTAAAGCTCAAGGGCACCCAGGCGTCTGTGTGTTCGCTACACAACTATCTAACTCAGCAGTCGGACACGGCTCAGCTCTTACGTCTCCTGCTGAGAGGAAAATATCTAAATCCCATTCAGGGTTTTATGTTTCTATAAGCCTAAAGTATTTATGGAGTAAACAGAACTGGAAAATGATAGGATACTGAAAAACACCTAAAGTGTATTCCTTACACTCTCCCCCAAAAAATCTGCAAAAAAAAAAAAAACCTAACAATAAAAATAATATCTGTAGAGTGTTATTACTTGTGGTGGTTAAGCTGATCCTCAGTGTTGAATCGTGAAGGACAGCTTGGACAAGAGAAGAGTTGAGCACTTCCTTCAATGTCCAAGGAACAAACCTGCTTTGAGAAACACAGGAGATACGAGTAACATAAAAAAAGATTTTAAACCAAGTTATWAAGAAATTATTCTTTCAAACAGTTTTTTATTACAAGATTTCTACAAAAATGAAAAACACGCTGACAAAAATCACTAACAAAATACACAAATAAACCTCTCAATATCCTGTGTAACATCTGTGCTCCAACCAGGGTTCGACAAATCCTATTGCCCGACTGCCCGGGGCAGGTAAAACCCATTGTCGGGCAGGTGGGTGTGTCCCAATGCCTGCCTGACCGGGCAGGTAAACAATTTCTTTTATTTTTTTATAGGGCCATTTATTCAAAATCATCTGAAAATAAATGAAGAAATATGGCGTTTTAAAACACGTAAAGAGAGAATAAATCGTCAAAATACCTATTTAAGATATCTCTAATTATATTCTGACTTGTATAAATAACATTAGATTTGTCATCATGTTGTATGGAGACTCCAGTTCAAGATATCTTAAATGTATCTTTGGATATGAGATTCACTATGTGAGATTTAATTAATGCAAATTTCAGACTTTTTCATGTTCTGTAAATTGTATTTAAAACAAAGCTGCTGCTGTTGATCATTCTGTTTTCATAAACCCCACCCCCAAGGCCAATACTATAGGGAAACACTTTTTTGAAGATGTTCTTGATAATACAATTGACTGTTCGTAACTCAGTCTAAAATGTATGTATATCTGTTTAATCAGGTGTCATATATTATATACCTCTGTATAACCATGTTAATATTTTTGTAGTACAAAGTACAGTACACGATTTTTTTATTTGATCAAAATTTGAACATTTTTGTTTTGGGCAGGTAACTTTTCATGTCGGGCAGGTAACATTTGTTGTCACCTGGGCGGCACGACGGCTCAGTGGTTAGCACCGACGCCTCACAGCAAGAAGGTCCTGGGTTCGATCCCCGGTTCGGACCTGGGGTCTTTCTGTGCGGAGTTTGCATGTTCTCTTCGTGCTTGCGTGGGTTTTCTCCGGGTACTCCGGTTTCCCCCACAACACAAAAACATGTACAATAGGTTGCCTTCAGGCCCAGGCCGCCCTTGAAAAAGAGATCTGAGATCTCAATGGGATTTGCCTGGTAAAATAACAGTAAATAAAAAATAAAATAAAAAAAATAAAACCTTGTCGAACCCTGGCTCCAACATTTAAGAACTATGCTAATGAATGTAGTAGGGTAGAGCCCGTACCGGTTTGCGTCCTCGCCTGCGCGGAGGCTCCGTTGACGTGTGAATGAGTTGGTGTCTTTTCAGGGTGGCTGCCTGGGCGAAATCTTTGCCACAAACGTCGCAGCAGAAGGGCTTGTTGCCTGTGTGGTTCAGGCTGTGTCGCAGCAGGCTCTGGGAGTTGGTGAACGACTTCGAGCACACCTACACGAGAATTCAGTTTGTCCCACAGATATAATTACGACACTTTTAATTGCTACATGCAAAAAATAGATACATTTGGTTTAAAGTCGAATGCAAAAATCCAAAAACCTTTTTTTAAGTGTTTCAATCTCTGCAGAAAACCAACATTATAGAACATTTTATAATTTTAGTACACCTTTTGCCTCTTCAATGAAATGTTTCATCCTACTATAGAAAAAACTACTGAAAAAGATGAAGAGCTCTCTTCTGTTCAACATGATTTGTAATTTGTCCTTGGATATCAAGACCTTGCAGGCTCCATGTACACACTTTTTTTAAACAACATTTTCTATTGTTCAAAAGACACCAGGGAACCTGTCGAATATAATGAGCCTGGAGGTTCAAACTGTGTCAGCTTTCACTTAGAAGTATTACATCATCCCATCAAAGTCAGACACACAACATAAATGATCTTTACATGAAAGCAAATCAACCTTCAAATTTAAGAAAGGGACACTTTGATTAAATTTCTGACTGGCACCTTGCACGTGAAGAGCTTCTCTCCGGTGTGACTGTAGACGTGTGTGCGGAGGAAGACGCGCCGGGTGAAGGTTTGCCCACAGTAAGGGCAGACGTGGGGAAGTGGCGTTCGAGCCCAATCCTGTAGCAACTTGGCAGGTGGATGGTGATTCATGTTGTTCGAGTCGGCTGAACCGCTGGCTTCTGATTCATCTTTAGTGCCTGAACTAATGTTTCCTGAACCAACAGAAAAATAGGTTGTAATGTCAAAACGTTTGACAAGTAATAAGATAGAGTTATAAGACAAGATTGTTCATTTTGATGTTTGTTATACTGTTGATTTTCACTTACCTTCTAGTGCATAAGCACTCAAAATCCTGAAAGAAGGCCTGCCTCTCTTAGGAACAGGGGAACCAGATTCACCCGAAGAGGGAGACAACAGTCTCTTTGCGGTTTGTACGGTATTGTCGCGGTTAACTGGGGTTGTTTCACCAACAGCTTCCTCTGTTTCCTGTGTAGCTGGTGAGAAACGGTGCTGACGCCGATGATACAGATACTGAGTGGTGTTCATGAAGCTCTCCTCACAGTGGGAGCAGCTGTGCAGTGGATCACTGAAGCCATGCTTTTCTTTACGATGAGAGGTGAGTCCTCTGGCGTCACCGAAACTCTGCCCGCAGTGGGTGCAGAAAAACAACTTGGGTTGAGTAAACGTGGAGAGCACAGTGCTGGAGGGAGAGGGTACGTCATTGGCATTGTTAGGGGAAGACATTTTGGGAACATCTTCCACGGTTTCCTCGCCCTTCTGTCGGTGCTGTTTGCGATGATAGAGGAAAAGTGTGGTGTTCAAAAAGCTTTCTCCACACATGGAGCAGCGGTGCAGAGCTTCCTCAAAGCCGTGCTGAGTCTTGCGGTGAGCTACGAGTTCAGAAACCAGGCCGAAACATGAGCCACAGTCGACGCACAGCAGCACCGGTTCAGGTTTAGGCTTTTTATTTACTCCCCTCCTTCTTGGAGATGAATCATCTAAATTAGAAGCTGAAGCATCCGCCTCAGCAACAGGAGCGTCTGAGCTCTGAGGTGAAGGTGGCTGTGCAGTCTGCTCATCCATTGGTTCAGGATTTCTGCTACTTTCACTCTGTGACAGAGATGAATCATCTGGATTTAAAGGTTCTGCTTGACTCTCAGCTGAGAAGGTCGGGGCTTCATTATGAGAATCTGTTGTTGGCTTGTTCGCTAAAGAATCCCATTGGCACGCCCCTTCCTTACGATGATGCTGCCACAAGTCAAGGCTCTTGAAAAGTTCATCACAATCCCCACACTGGTAGAGGATTCTGGGCTGGTCTGGTGGTTTCTTCTCATGGGAATCATCAACTTCACTCTTAATTTGCTCCAGAGAGGGATGTCCCACATGGACCTCAATCTGTGCGACTGCATTCTGGGGTACTGCAATCTGTGGGAGTGCAATTGTCTGGGATGTACTTACTGCATGTTGCTGCAAAAAGAGAGAAAAAAACATATTTTTACTAATTTAATTGACATAAWTTTTAGTATGTTCAAATAAAAGTAATCTTGTACAACTGCAGAAGGAATTTACCAGAAACAACTGATTGTACTGGTGCAGTGGTACTGCCTACAGAGTCTGTCTATAATTTTATTCTTTGCAACAGATGAGAGATGAGAGTTCAGCGTTGGGGAATAGAGGTCAATTTGAGCAGCAAGTGTTTAGAGCCAAGGTTTCTCTACGAGCTTCAGACGGTCGAGATAAGACCTCAACCTCATTGATAACGATCAAAACGTCCATTGGGGTTGACTGGGCCCCTCCGCAGGGTTTTACATTTGCACGATCCATTCATTTGGGTGATAAGGAAAAAAACATCAAGGTCAAGGTTGAAGGAATCTGGAGCTACTTCAATCACTTCAGTTCAACATGACTCATACACAGTAATGATATGTGGGCTGTAGTGGTATTCTGCTGTGTGAGTAATAAAGACCACCTTCAGACATGGTCTGCCTGTTTCAATAGTCTCCTGATTGCAATTATAGCTTGCATTAACGTGCATTTTATTCTTAAAAATATTCAGATTGTGTGTACAAATAAAATAAGCTGCTAGCTGCACCAGTTGTTACTGATTCATATGTGGCAGTTCATATAATAGTATTTTCTCTAAAACTTCTGCAGCAAGTATGTTGTACCTAACAACGACCTAAAATGTACAACAGCTTTTCTGTTGTAAAAATATATATGTTTTTTTTTTGTTCTTCTGGAAGTTTTTTTTTTAAATACTGAACCTACTTAAATGGCAGGAAAACACATTCTCACAGCTTAGATGCTCTTCTGTCCTGAAATACCCGATTCTGAACCAAAAACGGCCAATTTTAATTTGTTTAGTGAATACTTCTGAGGAGACATGGACTGACTGAACTTATATCCCCGTAACGTCCTCAGTGGAAGCTGAGAAATCAACTGTCGCTGTTTAACATCAACTTCACATTAGGAGAAGAGAAATTACGACAACTAGTGCAGTTTGAACACATGCGATAAACCCACTATGCGAAGGATGTGCCAAGAACCCATAAGGTATGCAGGGTTTTATAGAGTTTCTCTAGCTGATTCATCTATGAGATAGCCAATGAGCGATTCGTCGAGAGAACGAGCGGCACTGACTGAAGCATTTCTCATGCCCTTCTTCCCTCTGGATGCAATCTGTCTGTCATGAGTGTCACTGTGCTTTATAGACGCACGTTTAAGACTGTAAAGGATGGAAGTCCAGGCAAGAGCTCCGACAGCCGTGCTCTGCTGCTGAACGAGGCCCGATGACTGCTTTTAACCCAGAGGGCTTTTTGAAGCTGTCATGGGAAAGGCAAAAGGATAAAGTGCCAGTAACAACTCAAAACWTGGCTCTTTATGTTCAAACTAAAAAAAAACTTACCCTGAAATGCTGCAGTAGTAAGTGAACAGAATAAAAAAAGACTATGGAGAGGAAAAGACACTCCAGAATAAATGAATTATGTAAAAATCTACAGGACTCTCAATTGCAAATGCAGACAGTGACTTTACAAACCAGGAGAAACAGGAATCAGAATACTAAATAAAGAGGCACGGAGCAGATAGTACATCTCGCCCACATAAGCCAAAGAATAGGATCATCCCAAAATTACAAAGCAACAGACTGTTCATTGTAACTGAAGCATGGGAAACAATCTGGTGATTCATCTGACTTCACTGGATATCATGGAAATGTGACACTGCAGACCTCAATCTGGCCTGCAACTTTTACCATGTCCTCCTCCTCCTCTCCAATCCCTGTTATCTTCCCCCTCTGGGATTTGCACAATTAATATGACAAAAAAAAAAGCACCAACTTCAAACTGTGTTCCACTCGTTTCTGTGTTCATTTTTTTTCTGTATTCTATATTTCTCTATTAAATAAAGCTCTACACTCTAACTTAACCTCTTAAATGTAAATATTTGTAGGATCTTAAAAATAAGATTTATTAGCTACACATTCCAAAATATTAAGTCTATAATCACTCCTTTCCCAGTGCTGCCGGGTGTTACATTGACTCATTACTCTGATGAACAATGTGTTAATCTGTCATTCTGTCATTACTTAGGAGAAGCAGTACCATGTAAACTTGTGCTTAAATTATTTGCTGCCAATATTACACAACTTGTCATGGTGAATGTAAGGGGGGCTGAATAAAAGCCCCAGACTAATAAAGTAAATTAATTACCAAATTACACCCACATGCACATGTTCTGGTGCAATCAGAATTGAGGAAATATAGAAATCAGTAATGAATTATGACATGTAATGTGAAATTATTCTGAAGCAATCTGTGTGATACTCTGAAGACATAGATTTGTTTTTGTCGCACCAACATACTGAAAGCTGTCCACTTCTGATCGGATCAATCAGGGCAAATGAGAACAAAGTCCTACATGGTTATCACATTATTTTAGGTGCCGTCTTTCCATTTAACAACTGTGTAGAGAGGATCCTCACTGAATGTCCTGATGCATCTCAGTAATCCAGGTAAAAAATCAAAGGAAAAAAAAAATTGTATAGGTCCTCTGGACGGGTTCTTCTTTAATGAAATTGCCAGCCATCACCATAGCCAGGTGATGTGAGTATGAGTCACCTGTGAACGATGGTCATGTGATGTGAGTATCAGTCACCTGGAGGCAGGACATAAAAGCCTGAATTTTGCCTGAAACTCTCAGACTGAAGAAGTCTCTTGGAAGAGAGACGAAACGTTTCATTAAAGAAGAACCCGTCCAGAGGACCTATACAATATTTTTTTCCTTTGATCCTCACTGAAGCTGAAATCACACTGGGAGCTGCCACTGCATGGTGCTTTGTTGGAAGCTAGTCAATTGATATGCTTAAAGCATATAGCATAGACAGCATCAAGCAGTGCAAAAACACGGATCAGTTTTCAACTGTAAGCTGGCAATGAGTACATTTAACCTTTATAGCACCAACTGAATGATCTTTCCATTTTAACATTGCTGTTAAAGTTTACATTGTTTAGTAGCTAATGTAGGTATATTTTAAGGCCATCTTTTTTGCAACTAGTTTAGTCTCAGCACATTTTGCCATGTCAAATGAAGAGGTAATTAATGTGTCGTGTCAGGACAAAAATTACACGACAAAAGCAAAATTATAATTGCTATGTATCACCACCAAATTTTCTTCCCTCGTAAACATTATCACTGTCGCTTCTAAAAATTACCACTTGTTGCTTTGTGATTAAAAGTATGATGTCAAAGTACATTTAAATGAGACATTAATGTGCAGCGACACTATGAAATGAGCTAGTAAATAATTACAAACAACTCAATGTTAAGTGATCGACTTATCAAGGTCGCTGCTGTTATTAATATGATTAGCAGAACACTGTTAATGACTAAAGACGTACTTGTCAACTCAGTGTTGTTCACTACATGTTATTCTGAGGCTGTAATTTAATCACTTAATGGCACACAGCAACAAAACTGTTTTTGTTCTTGAGATAGGAAACTGTTTGTTACCTGAGGCTGATCCACTGGAATGGCGACAGCAGTGCCTCCAGATGAGCCAGATTGGTCCTCTTCAGCAGTACATGTCAACTGGTGCTTGAGGACTTCTTCAAGAGTGTTAAACTCCTGGTAGCAGGGAAAGCACATGTACACAGACGAACCCTCCATRACTGCAGTGAGAAAAATAAATCACAAATATTTTTATATGAAAGACAGTCATCTAAAAAAAGAAAGATTAAAAAAAACTAATGAAGGTTTTTAATATGCAAAAAAAGGTTCAGCACACAAAACACCTCTGATGCAATACATTAATTTGGGCTGTGAACATTGCCCTCTCCTGATGAAAAGAAGTGTGTGCATTATTAACGCAGCTTGGACTCAAGTGCCAAGATTCTCTGAGGCTGACAAAGATGACTCATCAAACACTGAGGCTGAGCTGATTGTTATTTTGACCATGCAGGTTGCTGCTCAAGTGGAGACCTCACTGAGTCTTTCTCCCTCTGTGCCATTTCACAGTCCGAATCCACATTTAGCAAACTCTATCATAGCTGGAGCCGCACGAGGTGCAGTCAGACTCACACTGCTGAATGAAAATACAATCTCTGCAACCCTTCAAACACACTATTCAATCCTCATGGTACAAAACATGCAAAAAAAATCTCTATAAATACTAAAATAGCACTACTAATTTAGGCCAGTTTGCAATTTTATTTGGGCAAAAATATTAAGTTAGGTTGAAAATTATCTAAGAATGTTTGTATTTGTGAAAATGAGCAACAAATAATCTTTAAAAAATAGTGACTAGAATAGAGAATTTGATGTAAACTGCAGATTTGGTGATTTTAGGGTTGGGCATAATCGTATCGTGTGCAATTAATCGTCAGAAAAACATTAATCGATTAATTTTTGGCACTTGACGATTAATACGATTTATGCCACCAGACAGACGGACTGAAGATTTCAGTCCACTCGGTGCTCCTTTCCACTTCAAATATGATGAAATTTTTTTTAAAAAGTTGTGTAATTTATTTATCAACAAAATTTAAAATTTGATATATAGCCTGAAGTCTGTAATTTTGACACAGTTTGGAACAGGTTTGTATGAAGAGCAAATCTTTCCCACTTAATTAGTCATGTGACCAGGACATGAGGGTGTCCAGGAACTCCAGGGGATTGATCATCAAATTAATCGTTATCGGCTAAATACCACAATTCATCGTGATTAATTTTTTTGCCAATATTGCCCAACCCTAGGTGATTTGAACTGTTTCATTTGGTCAATATGCATCCAAAAATCATTTTTAGTTTAGTAGACATGTCTAATTGCCACTTCCTTTGAGCTACTAGTACCTTCTTTTTCAATTACTTTAAAAATGCATTGCTGACCTTAGAGCCAGCAAAGAGCACATCGTAACACATCTGACTCATAGATTTTTGATTAAAAAACAAGTAGGTGTTGTTAAACCAGGCATAAAATGATATGGAGCAGGGCTTGCAATGTGAAAAAAGAAATTTAACAATGTGTTACTTTGCTTCAGGTGAAATGTTATACTTAATGTTCAGGGGTTAAATGGGTTTAATAAGCTTTATTATAATATTCATAGCAGCCCCAAAAACCATATCACCAAGTCCAACAGTGAGGTTTACTTATCTGTTTATATTAGGTTTTAAAATGTAAAAAAAATTATGAGAAATAAACGATGATGTGTGTTTACTGCACAGGGAAGGTTTATAAAATGGTCAATTTATTGCTTTTACTGCCTTTTTTATGAGATGTAAATAAGATTCAGAAAAAAAAACACTCTTAAAACGTTTTTATACAAAAAAAAACTATTATTTAATCCTGCAGTTAAAGTCAGGTGTGGTGTAGAGCTTTAATTTGTTAACAATTCAGCTATTATGCAGCACATTTTTGACCTTGAACAAGGTGGGCATTCAAGTTTTTCTTAAACTAGCTGGTTATTTTCTAGCAGATGAGCTAAGGCTAGCTAACTGCAGAGGCAGAAATGACAGCTCTCGCTGAAAGCAAAACGATTGCGAATATTTCATACAGGTTTTAAAACAGTCAATAAGTGACTGTTTTACTGTGTCTGGTCAAAGGAGAGCTGGCAAGAATGACTCTGTAATTATGTAGCCGTGTTGAGGCTACGTTTATCTGAGCATTGTGTTGTGTTGCTAACAAGAAACCATAGCCATCTTTTTTTAAAATGGCTAACGTCCTTAGCGTGGCAGTCAGCTTCTCTATGTTAGCACAAAAATAATAAACCAGGTTACGGTCCGAGCTCTTAATTGTGGGCGCCCAGTTTGTGTTAGCTGGCGACATAACTCGTTTTACCACTTGGACGAGTGGTGCTTTACTTTCTGAAACCAAGAAGAAGAAGAAGAAAAGGCTCGAGAAGGAGGGCGGGAGGCGCTTCTTCGGTGGTATAATGGCGGCGACAGACTAAAAGTTAACATTAGCTGTCTCCCCCCGTCGAAATCCGCCATACAAAAATACCACATCGCATCGTTTCACAAAAATAACACAAGTGATGCAAAATAATTTAAAAYATTTCAACAAAACTCACCGCTGTCATTCGTTACTGGTCGAGGAGGCAATAGGCCAACTTCTGTTTTTTTCTGCACCTTAGAAGGCTCAATCTGATTGGTTGAAACAATCCCTTCGTTGACCAATACCATTCGTCTTTTCAAAACCCGGAAATTGTAGTTCAAAAGCTCGGCGGCATTAGCATCAGCAGCATAAAGGCCTTTGTAAATTTGTGATCAGCAGTGTCTGTAAAAATATTTTTTTTTTTTAAATCAGCAGTATCAGTGCGGGTGTATTAAAAAACTAAAGGTAGGTGATCTAAAATGATAAAAAATTAAAAGACATTTTACGAAACAAAACATTGGCTCAAAATTAAAACAATTACAAAAATGAACAAGAATAAAAAAATAGACTACAAAGATGCTGGAAACCTATACAAATAAAAATATAAATAAACAAATATAACAACCATAAGAGTAAAAAAAACATGGGACACAAAATGTTGCAAATATAAAAGCACGACAAAAATAATATAATAACATATCAGTATGTATAGGCTTTCTCAGATGTCACCTGCGCCTCTATACTTGGAGAAAAATGAAGGATTTCTCTATATTTGCCCAAGGCTCAAGGTCTCATTATTACTTTTATTACACTTTAACATTTATGTTACTGTGAGTGATGAGAAATAAACTTGGGAAATGCATTGGGTTCTGCAGCAAAGGGTCTGAGCCCCTCAGAGCATCAGTGAAGTGAGTCACACAAAGAAAAGGAACAAACCACAGAAGAAGTATGTCATTTTCTCCAAGATACTCCATCTGCCAAGTTTCATAAAAATCTTGGTGCAGTTGTTCTTAGAGCTATCCTTATTTCCATCACTTCATTTCAGTGCCTACACATTTTTACTGCATGTTAGGAGTAATCTGATTATGTGTACATGAGTGAACGGAATATTTTAGCTACCCAGCCTGTAAGTGACAGGATCTCTGTTGATTTATACACAATCTAAATTCCATGCAGCTTTTTCAAAATGTGTAAAATTTCACCTAAAAACATGCTCATGATTAAACATTGAGATAATCAGAGCACCTTTGAAACTTCCCCTCTACCCCTCAGTCTTAAGACCAGACTGCCATGGYTGTAATTCTGCTGCATAAAGTATTATAAACCCAGATCAATGAAAGTATTTACTGGTCTTAGTCCACTCATTTCCCCAAACACTTTGTCCCTCCTGCTGACTGAAAAGATGAGCAGCTCCTTCAGACAGTTTAACCCCAACTCCAAATGATTTTAAAGAACCTGCTGGGCATTCAGCCAGAAAGGCCATTCAGGCACAACAAAAACTGCCCAATCTGTGCTGCTCACTGCAGAATAACATTATTCAACACTGACATATCATATCAGCATGATGACAGATGAGACCCCCTGCTTTTCATTGAATGGTCTGGTTCAGAGACTACAGGTCCCTGGGGGGAAAGGGATGTGTTGTCAGACGGCCTTGATTGCTCCATCGGCATCTGCATGTTCTCGTTGTCAACATTTTTATTTCTGTCAGCTTTGAACTAGTTAATAACATTTCAGACAAGCATTGTTTCATTTTCCTTCCTTGTGAAGAAGACACTTTAATGGAAAATCACTGCCTGTTAATTCTGATTGTCAGTATTACGTGCATTTATCTTTATACTGGATTTTCATGTTTTACGTTTACAATATTATTCATTGTAGATGATGAGTTATTCAATGGTTTCCCAATTTTCCATTGAGGAACATAATTTATAACATATTTCAATGAAAGTTGAATAAAATAGTTGTAGCACGTTCATAAAATTGGTTTTGCGTGGGTGATAAACCTAATAAACCTCTCATAAAACCATTTCTTAAATTATTTTTAGGCACATTTACATTATTTTGTTATATACCGTATATAAAAAATATGTCACATATTTGTTTTGGTTGATTTTCTATTAGTTAAATGTGGTGTGATTTTTACCCTCAAAATTATGTTTCAATAGAAAATAAAGGGGTCAAGAACCCAGATCCCAAACCCTTTTTATTTATTTATTTATTTATTTATTTATTTATTTATTTATTTATTTTACACTCATGCATGCTTCAAAAAAACTGAAAGTTTTTCTTGAAAACCTGATTCCCTATAAGAAATTCTTGACCTCACAGTTTAGAAGGACTGGGCTCAGAACTGGGTCGAGACAAGAACAAAGTGTTAATTTATGTGAGCTGAACTTCAGGGGCAAACCTTAAAGTAACTTATTCACGCCCAGGGCTGCAAAGGTTCTGACAGAATCTATTTATACTTCCTACTGGGCTCAGAGAGGGACAGAGGTCAAAAGTTTAGGCACACCCTGAGACTTCATTAAATCCTGCTCCTTTTGCAGCAGGCTCCTCACTGAATAAGAAATGTCAAGTCCGAGGCGGTGTGGGAAAAACCTCAAATAATTTGGCTTTGTGAGATGTGTGCTGACACGATGCAGAATGAGTTCTGATTTATTGTATAACAAGAAGTGGGACAGTGTCAAAAAGAAGAGTTTCACTAAAAAGAACCAAAAGGCCACAGGAACACGTGCTCTCACATCCAGTTTAACAGTAAAATTTCATTAAAACATTCTCATACGATCAGTGGCATGGTTTCAAGAGCAACTCCATCTGGTTACATCATTATCCAGCTGATTCCTCACAGAGTTCAATGATCCAGCTGACTCTGCAGCAGAGCAGTGCTTTTCATTAATGAGTTTCACACCATCTCCTATCCTGTGGGCGGCTTTAAAATATCCCTCCTGCGTGAGGAAAAGTCCACACCACTTTTACAATTGCTCAACACCCAGTTCTACAAACTCTTTTGACGTGTTTCATCTCTGTATTCTTCTACCTTGTGGTGTCTAAAAATAAATAAATAAATGTGACGAGAGCATTTCTTCTGTCTAAAGAAAAATGGTACTGTAGCCTATAATATAAACACAATGCAATGATTTGCAAACCTCTACTCAAATGTTAGTCACAATGCAAATTAGTAAACATATTTTATTTAGAAATYGAATCTTTTTGAAAAGATGTCAACTTTATGATGTTGCCGCCATCAGATTTAAGATTTTTTTAAAAGACAAAAAATGCAAAATCAATATTTTTGAGCTTTATATCTTATGTCATTCCCTCAATAATAAAGAGCTGCTTTGACTCATTTTTTAATGTTTGAGGAATTCTTGAATCTCCTGAAGTGGGAGTGTCAGAAACGGTAGGTTCTTACAGAGGCCAATTTAGGCGTAGACAGATGATGCAAAGTCAAATTTATTTTTGATATATACAGCATTTTCATAACTGAAAGTAACAGTTACTTGGTAGTGGCATAGAATTGAACTATGTACCTGGAAAATACACAATACCACCTCTAAACATTTGATGTTTACTTTGTTCTATTGTGAATAAAATAGATGTGAAGTTTGCAAACCATTGTGTTTCTTTTTTACAAAGTCCCAACCCTTTTAGAATTGGCTGTGATAGCTTGTTTTTCTGCTGCTACAAGAAGCATGGCTTGAAGATTCAGAAATGTCAGTAATGAATTTGACACTGGGACAGTTTCATCACTTTATTAATGAGTTTAATTATTTATACCAACAAACAAAAAACAGTCTCTCTCTCCCTTATTCCCTCCCTCTTCCATCTTCAGTATCAAACTATTCTGATCCCAATGATGGCATTTTACCCTCTTTAAGGGTGATGAAAAGGTTACTGCAAATAAAATTAAAAAAAAGTGCCATGAATCAAAAGATAGACAAAAATAAAATAAAAATTAGTCAGCTCTGTGTGGGAGAATGTTCATGGTCAACCAGCACGCATACAAACATACATTCCCTGAAGCTGTGCTGACAACTTGCAAAAACTCGCCACCTGTGAAGCAAATACACACACATACACACACACACACACACTACTGAACCCTCAAACCTTCACATTCAGACACAATATGCAAAAACAGCAAACAGTCAAGACAAAGGAGATGATACATTTTAACAGAAGATTCATTTTTTTCTCCACACACACATACACACAAACTCACTCTCGCACATACACACACACACAATTGTGTGCCCCCATCCATCCATCCCCCCAAAAAAACAGAACAACCCCATATATCCAGAGGCTTGTAACATTCCCTTCACATTGAAGTTTAATGGAAAAACTGGAGCTCCGCTAGTTGGCGAGTGTGTGCACCTGCAGACAAACAAAACCACTGCTGGGGAAGCACACCATCATCTGGATCTGAGTACAGTATCTTGGATGTGAAACAGTTTAGCTAAAATTTGGATTTGAGAAAAAAATAAAATAAAAATAAAATAAAAGATGAAAAGATCCCAAACCCCCCACCCCTCCCCCTAAAAACACTATACAATAAATAAAACAGTCATGACAACATTAATGGGGGACAAGGAAAAGCTTTGATGAGAGGAATGAAGGGAGAGAGAATAAAAATGAAACATTTTGTTCTGTTTTTCTTTTTTTTTTTTCTTCCCTCCTGAACAAGGGACTGAAATGAAATCGTATTTACAGACTGTGACTGAGGATAAACGGTCCGGCTTGCTGCTGGGCCGGTCTACTACAGAAAAAGAAAATTACAAGAACAGCAATATAATTACAATAATAACAAAAATAACAAAATAAAAGGTACTTGATATTTACAGTTTAGCTGTGAAAAAATAGAGGAAGTAAAAAAAAAAAAGGGAAGTGGGGTAGCAGAGTGGTGAAGATGAGGAAGCATCGAAGGGGCGGCTCCAAAAGCTGTTGGGTTTCAGGGGGTCTGAGCATTATTTCTGGTCAGATTATTCGTTGGGTTGGCTTGAACTGAACACATACGCTTGCGAGTCAAACATAAAAAAATAAATACATAAAAACATCTCCAAGTGACTGTTAGCTGTGCGAATCATTCAAGACAAGTTCTGTCTGCTGATTCAGAGGAACATGATATAAGAGTGGAACAAGCAGGCTGCTTTAAAGGGGGCAAAAAAAGGGTTCAAACTGCCTTCGCACCTGATTCTTTACCATAATCAAGAAGCATCGGAAACTGACATAATTAATGAGGTGCTTCATTCATTTCTGTGCAAATCTGATGAAAAACTTTTCAGACAATGAAGCTTCTGTATCAGATGCAACTGTAGCCTAACGGCTCCCTCCATGTGACRTCCTGTCCTCAGCTGGACACAACTGGCCTCTTTCTGTGTCTCTCCACTCCCATTAGACATGTGCAAAAGTTTACACAAAACACTGGCTTTCCAGCTTAACCGATGAGCTTATTGTGAAAAAACTCAAGGTGTGCGCACTCCACTTGGGCGAATAAAAAAAAGGGCAGTTAAGATGGTAGCAAACAGTGGAAAAAGGGCTTTGGTGCTTTGACTTCCAGAAATTAAATTAAAACCACCTTTTGATCTAAAATGACATTTCAGCTCGCAGATTAAAACTATCCCTCAAGTCACCCCAGTGGTGACCTAAAACCTTTTTCTGAGCTGATTTCAGGGTAGAAAATGACAGAAGAGCCTCTAGTCTACACACTGGACTGTTTAGCTACGATCAAACACTTTTTTTAAAATTTTTTTTCAGCTGAAGTGTGCAAGTTTTAAACTCCACTAAGAATGATTGTCAATATACATGTCAGGACTTACCACGCTACCCTTACTCTCAACTCCAAAGCCAATCGAATTCAATTAAAATCTGTGGCACTCTAGCCTYAAGTAAAATTAACTAATGCAAATAAATTAACGTAAAAATTAAAAGGTGTTCATTATAATATAGAAAATTCACATATGTGCAAGACTCTTCTTTTCACCATTTTACTCAACAGCTATTTTTATTCTAACAGTCCACATAAGGACAGTCCACATAAGGGCCGACGTAGGACTGCAGCTTATATTAAATCAAAGTGCAGCTTACAAAATGCCAACCCACAACTTCTTACAGCGAGTAGCTGCAGGCACTGCTTTCTACTAGAACTGGTTAACACTTTAGGGAACGCTGAGTGTTTATGCGAGCATGTCAGGTTATTAGTAATGTTTTGTTTATTCCTTTAAGGGTTGGAGCCAGGAGTAAGCATAGAGGGAAAGGAGCAAAAAGAAGAAAACAAGGAAGACAAAACAGAAAATGTGACAGAGGGATGAGCGCTCAGGTGCTGTTGTTGATGGATCCAGGTGCTGAGCTGGGTTGGGCGGTACTGTCTGACACGCTGCCCTCTGCAGGGGAAGTGACAAAAAGCATGTTACAAACACAAATGATAGTTTAATAAAATAAGAGATTAAATTAAAGAAATGACATATAGCATCTGAGTTAAGGACAATCTCAAGGTTACATCATAAAAACAATGAAACATTCCACAAGTGAAAAGTTAGGATTTAGGCTTATGTGGCATCAGCTATTACAATATGAACATACACTTGCTTTATTAGGTCCACCTGTCCAGTTGCTTGTTAACACAAATAGGTCGATCACATGGCAACAACTCAATGCTTTTAGGCATATGGATGTGAAGACCACTTGCTTAGGTCCAAATGAGCATCAAAGCAGGAAAGAAATGGGATTTAAGTGACTTTGAATGTGGTTTGGTTATTTGGCCAAATGACTGGTTTAAATAATTTACAAAGTGCTGATTAAGTATGATTTTCACACACAACCATCTAAAAGGTTTAGAGAGTAAGTAATTACAATCTTAAGGGGCTAGAGATATTTGTAAAGCCTAAAATTCAAACAAATTTCAAGGACCGATGTACGGAAAGTGATTATAAAAATACTGGCTCAACAAGTTTGTTTAGGAGAAGGATAAAAGTTACATTGTTGAAGAAATATGAATTAAATGTGCTTTAATTAATAATGTGCATTCATAAGAACTGTTGTTTGAGAAAAAGTTGAAGTTTTTTTTAAGTTTTGTTATTTGTAGATTATAATTGTTTGAATTTATTTTTTATTTGTTTTATTTTTGGAAAAAAGGGGCATATGTTAATAAGATTATTTTCTTCTTTCTGCTACCTTTCATTTTATTTGTGATTTGTTTTATTTGGTCGTGTGTGAAAGCAAGCAATTCAACAGGTGTACATAATAAAGTGGTCGGTGAGAGTAAAAGATTTTTCACACCTGAATGAAAATATTTTTTTAACATAATAGTACTGTAGTTTTTATGACATTCAAAGAAATACATGTTAAAAAAATCACAACAAGCTGTCATATGTACCATGTGAGGCAGGCGATGTCTGTGCACGAGCGTGAGGAGGAATGAGCGTGGAGTTCAACTGGGGCTGAATAGACAGCTCTGCAGGAGAAAGACAAAACTTTAATTACATGTACATTTCTGCAAGCTAATTATCATTAACATGTAAAGACAACACTAAAAATCTATTATAAAACATAAGTGCATACAGCCTTGAGTATAAGAGTAAAGACAAGGATGGAGAAGCAAACTGACCAACAGGACTGAAGTTGAATAGGGGCGGCAGTTCTCGTCCGCTGGGCAGACGGGTGTTGGGCTGGCGCAGCTCATCGAAGAAGGCATGTGCGCATGCTTCCAGGGGAGACAGTCTGGAAACTGGGGTGTACTCCAGCAGTCGAGAGCAGAGGGCAATGGCCTCTGGAGGGGTACGAGGCTTAAAGACCTAATAGAACAAATAGGAGTGGAAAACTCTTGGATGTGTGTGTACAAACTAGAGAATAAAAATATTAGCAGTAAAAATACAAGACAGCCTACTTGTTACTAAAACATCACTGATGATGATCCAAACTTCTCAATAAAAGCGTACCTTTGTCCAAGGATGAGCTTTAATCTGGGGGAATTTGAACTCTGTGTAGTTAGGATTCATCTCCCGGATCTGCTCCCTTGTTGGTGTCCCCAAAACCTGAGAGGTGGAAAAGTCATAAACTCTATAAATATCAATGCCATCGGCTGATAAACCTCAAAAATATTATTTTCTAAAATAAGTTCATTATTTGTGCTTCCTCCAGGATGATTCATTTAACATCTTTGTGTTGAACAGCAAATATGATTTTAAAAGCATGTTATTTTTCAGCGTTGATGAAATTTGTCTTTTAGAGTGGAGCATAAAACAATCTGTGCCTGCACAGATTTTTTCTTTTTAGCCTGAATGAAATCATCTTTATTCCAATTTCAAAGTTGTATTTCCATGTCTCACAGCAATCGAACTGAATAAAATGACCTTTTGATATTCAGTGTCAGATAATTATTGAGGGCTTCCAAAGAAAAAAAACCTTCAATCTTTCTTAATTTTACTGGTAAATTTCTATTTATTCAATGCAAGATGCTGAGCAGGATGGAGACTTTTATGAAAATACGGGTGTATGCACACCTGACACATTTGGTCCGCTTTAAAAGAGACCAGAGTTTGTTTCTCCCTTTGGTCTGGACCTTTCATGTAGGTAGTCATGATAATCATGATGCAGACCAAACAATAGACCCACTTTTTGAGGTCCATTGCCAAATGAACTCTGGTACGGTTTGATTCTGGTGTGAATAAAGACCAGCCTCAACCCGAATCAGCTACAGAAAGCATACGCTTTTTTGGACTTCACAAGCCATCGTTGCTAAACTTCATGGTAAAAGTTAGCCATTCAGTGTTGCTGATGGTACCACTACATGGATGATACAAGCAGTGAGCCGTGGACAGATCTGGAGCAACAAAGAGACACAGTTCCATATTTGGATAAATGAACACATACAGTAAGGAGAAGACACAAAAGAATGTGGTCGTATTCTCCATGTTTGGCACATCAGAACTGCAACGTGCAAAACTTCAATCTTTCTTTTCAGGACTGTGCTCTGCGTCATTTCTGTCCAATGGGAGCAATGATCATCACCCGTGTGGTTTTGTTTACAAATTATAGTCCAAGGATAGAGGATAAAAATAGATGTGTAATGATTTGGATTGTCAAAAAAACAAAACAAACAAAAAAAAAAACATGAAAATTTCAGTCTTTCATGAGTCATCTCATATATTTGGATACTTGAAGCCCCATACCAATTCAAACCCCTTTAGGTTTGAAAATAATTGACTGAGTGGGCTGTATGTATGATTTATTGCATTCACTGTTTCAGCTCTTCATTTCACCCCAACATGATTCACACATGCACCTATTACAACAAGAGTAGTACACAATGTTGCACACAAGCCATTTAGGGTGGCATGTTGACTTTTCCCTGCAGGAGATTTGCTGTACCTTGATGATCTCTACTAGCTGGTCCACACCACTGTCCCCAGGAAAGATGGGCTGGCCCAGCAGCAGCTCCGCTAACACACAGCCGGCTGACCAGATGTCAATGTTGGACGTGTAGTCGGTGGCGCCAAATATGAGCTCCGGGGCACGATAGTACCGTGAACAGATATAGGACACATTTGGCTCCCCTCGAACTAACTGCTTTGCACTGGAAAGTTTGAGAGGAGGGAGATGAAGATTAGCAATAAAAAGATGAAAACTGCAACAAACCACAAGTCTCTATTGTTCGCGCAAAAATCACAAGCAGAATAAAAACAAAGAAACTACTGACAAACTAAAGGTTGAGCCAGATAAAAACACACTATCAACTTGACAAAACACGCAATACAAAATACAAAATGTTATACGTTTAAAGATAAATAACTTTACCGACCTGCCAAAGTCACAAAGTTTGAGAATGGCCGTCTCTGGATCTACCAGGAGGTTCTGAGGCTTGATGTCTCTGTGACAAACGCCCTGGGAATGGATATAAGCCAGACTGCGGAACAGCTGGTACATGTACACCTGAGGACGACACAGAGAAACACTCAAAAAAGTCAACTTACAGAAAATCTATCGACACTAAAGAGGAGGAGCACAAAAACATTTAAACACATAAATCAGGCCACTGACGACGATCAGGTGGAGCAGAACTCTGCTTTACTTTCTGCAAGTTGTGCCAAATTTAGTATGTTTTAAGCCTGTTCTATTCTCATTTTTCTGAATGCAAGTTAATATTTATTTCATTATCCCTATGGCAGAAGAACAGTGATAACAAGGAAAAATCTATTACATTTCCAAACTAATGCCAATGCAGAATAATTAAACAGAACCTGGACCAGGTAACAGACAGAAATGGGTCAAACTGACTTAAGTAAATGATTCAGTTTTAAAAAAGTTAAAATCAGTCTTCACTGCTGGTTTGATGATTTTAATTAGATGAATTTTAATGCTCTGAAAATTAGACATCAAAACAAAAAGGGATTAAAGATTAAAACGAAATATGARCACAAACATGCAAAGAATACAGATTTTATCTTTTACATCAAAAGAACCACAAGTTTGTTGAAGAACCACCACTAAATGACAAAAAGACCCTTCTCCTTATAAAACATTTTATGATTACACTTGAGATGCAAGATCCAAATTAGCAAAGTGAGCAAGCAAAATAAAAGGATTTAAGGATGATGTGGAACAGGACAGGTGATCGGATTTTTATGCATCTGGACTTGTGATCAGGATAAGCAAAAAGGAAAATAACTGATTGCTCAATCTGAAGTTATCCCTGATCCTGTTTTCTAGATACTTCTGAGCCTTCCTCTCTGGAGAAGACACAGAGGAAAACTCACATCCTTAATGCCTAATGTCTTCCGGCTCTCCCACTGACAGGCTGCTACCAGGAGTGGGTGCATCATTCAACCTGCTGTTAAACAGGATACATTTTCAAAAACAACTCTGCACTGTTCTCCTTAAAAGATAAATGATAAGAAACGTGTACAGTCCCTCAATCACATGTGTAGAAAGTTAAAAATCAATCAATTAATTTAAGTTGAAGAAAAACAAGCAAACTCCCCTGTGACAGCTGCTAAAAAAATCATTTTTATTCATTTGCTGCTTCTGGCATTTTTAAAAACATGGAGGAACAACATAGAGGAGATGCGGTAACATCTGAGGATATAAACTGAAACTGGCTCTGTTTTTGTCTCATACACAATTCCTGTTTCTAATGCACCAAAATAATTCAAAGATCAGTGGCCAACTTCATCCAACTCATTTTATATTTGCCCTTAATTTTATGTCCGCCATGTCAAACTCAAAAAGTGTGCACACATTTAGGCACGAACCCTTTCAGTGAATTTGAGAAATGTGGGCAGAAAGCATCCTAAAAGTGACAAATGACGAAAGTCGTCATCATCGCAATTATCGTCATTATTACCCACATGGTGCTGTGACAGCAGGCTGGCCAGATTACTGAACGATGACAGAAAAGATGACTGAGAAACGACGGCTGTTACCAAGAGAGCAGAGATGGGAGAGGAAGCTTGTTAAAGAGCAAAGGAAGAAGGAACATGACAAAAAAAAAAGAGTGCACAAGAGACAATCCGTAACAGAAGTGTGTCACCGTGGGAAGAAGGGATGGCAGTGAAGAAAGAACGAGAGAGATCAGCGAGCGTCTCAAAACCTCAGGGGACCAGAAGGCTGAGGTGGGGAAATGGGCCATGAGACAGCCATAATGTCCCCTCTGCTGCATTGTATGCAGTAAACACACAAACACTAATATGAGCACCGTTTTAGCAAAAATATCACAAACAATTATCTCCCACGGGCCCGTCATTTTATTTTCCTGCTTTCACTATTCTAAAACACTAAGATGCTATTGAATATAAACACACTGAGTGGCCTATTCCATCCAAGGGTAATTACTGACKATGTTTTCATCATTTAGTTCTCACTACTTTCCGTTCTACAATTGAAAAGAAAAAAAAGAAAAAACACACACAATAGGAGTTAGATTTGGGAAATGTAAATCTCCAAAACTCAAAAGCAGATTTATAACCGAACTGTATAACACTCTTAAGAAAGTTTGTCTTTTATTGTATTTCTTTAAAAAATATATAATAATGTGTGACATTTTCTCAGACATCAGCCCTCCTCACAACCCTGAACAATACTTACAGCTAAATTGTATTTTTGTTACTCTAATTTCTACATCATTTTCAAAGGGAACATTTCAGCTTTAGCAGAATCAGATGACAACAAAACCCCAACAAGTGGGTGGATTAACATACTGTATGTTCTTTTATAAGCAGAAAAAAAGACAAAATATTTTGCCAAATTTTATCCAAAAAAAAAAAAAAAATCTTAAATGATATGAATGAACTTTTTAAAGATTTGAGTGACAACATGACTGGAAGATGCCAACTGAGAACACAACTAGCAGTGTGTGTGTGTGTATTTTTCCTCTACTTACCTTAACATAGATGATGGGGATGGTGGTCTTGGCCTTGTTGAAGTGCCGAGCCACTCTGTACACTGTCTCCGGGACATAGTCCAACACAAGATTCAAATACACCTCATCTTTCTGGGAAAAAGAACAAAAAGATCCAGGACTGTTAACAACAGGTGGGATGTAAGCTTTTGTAAAGCCCATTTTCTGAATTCACTGCAGTCTGTAGTACCTGGAAAGTTCACAAAGAGCACTAGAAAACAGCTCAAATCTTGGAAGCATTCACCCCAGACTTGTTTACCTCAGTTTGCAGCCCCAGTACACCAGCTTTATTTTTAGAACCTTTAATAAAATTTAATTTTCTGAAAACCCATGTACATAAAAGCAGATGAGTTTTTGTGATTGAGGTGCTCAGGGTTGAGGCTGGATTCTATCCCAGCAGTCAGCAGGTGAGAAAAACCCATTAGTGGGGTCAAAACACCTCATTTTTCATCTGTTGACGTCTGTGGTTAAAATACTCTGCTTTATTGCTTCAGCCTTTATGCCACAGGTTACAGGAAGTGATGGGATATTCAATTGGCCCAAAGTATTAAGAGTACCCACATCTGACTTTGTCTCACACATCTCATCAATCCTGGTTAGTGCAACTTCTGCTAAACAAAAAAACAAACAAAAAAATAAAACTTTGAGTCCATGCCTAACATTACAGATTCACCAATTACCTCAAGAACAAAATAAGAAAAAAATTAAATTAAATTTAAAAAACAGAACACTAAACTAATGCTTACGGTACTGTTACTACTTTTATTTATGTTTTGCTGTTTTTATAGCTCATTATATTTTATATAGTTTTTTATAAATTTGACTTTAAGCCAAATAACTGAACACGGCTCCAGTAAATTATATTTAACAAAAAGATTGAAGTAAAGCAGTGAATAAAGGAAGGATTTCCAGACCAGTGCTGACTTGATTTTTTTCTAATCGGTTGTACTGATTTTGATGTAAGTGATTCTTTGCCATTTGAGTATTCTTTCTTCATACCTGCTGTGTTGGATTAGAAATTAAATTCTGGCCAAATAAAAAAGTTCTCACACAGCATAATGAGAGGACATAAATACTATATTATTAGAGCATACAGATAAAAGTATAAACTAATTAGTTAATTTGCTTATCTGTGATGTTAAAGGTCCAGATGCAGCTTTCCAACCCATCAAAAATAAATCAAAGTGTCACAGCTGGCTGATGTAACTCACTCAACAATCTTTAAGCCCCACAGCTCGAAATAAATACCTTACTGAACAACCAACTTAACTTTATCTTGCACCATGAATCATCAGTGACGCATGATACAGTAATAATTACCAAGGCGTGGGAGAACACTGTTTCTTCTAAATAATTGAATATTAAACATCAGCTCAGGTCATACATACTTTTTCTCCACTTGAGTAGAAGAAGTAGCGTAGCCTGACAATGTTGCAGTGGTCCAACTTCCTCATAATTTGCAGCTCTCTATTCTAAAATGAAGAAAAGAATAAAGTGGTAAGAGAAACATTTGAGTGCAAACACTTTCTTTTAAACATTTGAACAAGTAAGACTGTCTAAATATTACCTTAAACCTTTTGTCTTGGAGAACTTTCTTAATTGCCACCATCTCTTGAGTGTCAATGAGGCGAGCCTGGTAGACCACGCCAAAGGAGCCATTTCCTATGACCTTTATGTCTGTGTAGGACACTTCCTGTGGGCGGTCAGGGCCCTGCCCGGGTGTGGCTACCACCGTCGTCACTTTGCCACTGTCTCCTGTGGATGACAGAGCAAACTTATTAAAAAGCGCATTAAATTACACAGCCAACCTTGTCAAACTAGTAACATTTCAATCATACTGCTGTGATATTTAAAAAAGTGTTTGTTTTTTTAAGAGAATAATGTAAAAGAGGTACACACAGAGATAAAAGAACTGTCTCCAATTAGGCTTTTAAATCAGCATTTCTTAAATCATTATACCCTGTCTGGTAGCTCCTGGGACTTCACTGACTTGTAATGAGCGACTGATACTTCCTGCAACACTCCACCTGCTCCCCTGAGTGACACAAGGCTAAATCCTTTTAACTCGGACATATGATCCAGAACCACAAGATCCAGGAGCACTGATGCTTAATTCAACCCACGTTTGACTTCTTCAGAGTGTGGGTTAAGTATTAATCCCTGGCAATCAATGATGCTAATTGGTGACAGAAGCGGTCTTCACAACTGTTGTTTGTGTATTTGAAAAGAAGAGACCCAGAGGGAACAGGATGATGACAGATACTGTCACAAAAAAACAAGCTATTAAACTTGGGCTAAAGCAACTAAAATTTAGCAACAAGCCTAATAAGATGCCTGCAACACCCAAAAATTGCACAGATCTTTTAAAAAAGACTGTAAGTTACTTTTAATACTGAATAATTAGTGTTAAGCAAAAATAATCACTTTTCACACATGACGGGTACTTTTTGCATTAATTTGTTTGACAAACAAAAATGTCACATAGTTTGAGAATACTATGTGACAATATGTAGCCTGGTAAAAACTAGACCGTCCTTCACTTTGCTTCATACAAGGGTCTGGACTTGCTGCATAGAGAAGTGATTCTTGCAGGAGGCGTGGCCTCTGCTGAAGCATGTGTGTGTTGTCGCTGTGAAGGAGGCTAAGCTAAGAAGCTAACCGGAAAWCGCGAGCGCTGTAAACAACCCTACTGAGAGGAGAAAAGTACCGAGCCGAACGAGAGGACTGTAAATGAGAGCTGCTGCTTTGTCAGACAAATTTAATTTAATTTTGAAGTCTTATCAACACAGACTGGCTTCATTCACTTCCTCCACTGCCACTGCTAAAATAACTTGCAGACTCTGCGCAGAACATCGATGTTGTTCAAAACTCCGCCTTCTGTTTGCTGATTGGCCCAGGTAAAATAAACTACAAGCAGACACTGCACAGAAAATTGATGTTCTGTTCTCTGATTGGCCCGGCTAAAAATCTGCCAGTGAAATCCTTGTCTATGGGAGAAGTTCCAGACGGAGCAGTGAAGGGAAACTAGAATTGAGAGGAACTGCATAGGAAGGCAAGGGCCAGGCTAGACAATATGGCCTATCTTTGTAAAACACATCGACTACTAAACAGTTTAGYTTGGCATAGATCAAACAAAATATCCAAACATTTTGTTTTGTAATTGAGTTATCAGAAAAAAATGTTCGTCTGAGCCATCATAATTACAATAAATATTGTTGTAGTCTTAACCATTTACCAACAATGATCCAAAATCTAGTAGCATTTTTAATTGTTTGCTTTGCTTGTCTCATAGCACAAAGGCAATTTGAAAAATGGTTACAATCAGCAAACAGAAACCATTTTTTGCCAAATATGTTTGCACACAAAAGGACATTTTCTAAATTGTTCAGCAGGTGATTACAGAGCACATTATATTGTGTTAAAAGCATTTTGTTGTGGGGAAAACACACATACATACACACACGTATTGGAAAAGCATAATGCACCCTTTAACAAACTGAAACCCGAAGATTAAACTGCAGTTTGCTCGCTGTGGTGACCCCTGAAGGAGGGATCAGCTTAAAGAAAAACAACTAATCCTTGTAAAAGTTTTTTTTAGACTCCTTGTATCACAGCTCAAACTTCATATCCCTTGTAAATCTAATTCRTATGAAAGAAAGTGTAAGTTCTGTTTTTTCAGCAAGACTTTACCTGAAGGATATCAGGTGAGTGCCAAGTCTGTCAGGCTWATAATTCACCTTATGTAAAAGTAAGACGTTCGAGATGTAACCCTTTTTGACAGCTCCACTTACRGTCAAATAGCTGCATGGTGTTGAATGCCCGTTTGTATGTTGGGTCAAGAAGGACCTGACAAATGGGAAGTAAAGAAAACACAAGGAGTGGAACAGCGGATAAAAGGCCCACTGCCAAAAGGCTTGTCAAGGCCTGCAATAAAATTGCACGGACAGTAGCACACCCGGAGGTAAAACCATTTTCAGTGCTTGCTCAACTCACTTGTCTGAACAAGACCCCTCCAGATTTCTATGTTGTAGTATGTTTTTCTGTTTCAAATACTCTCAGAAGGATTTATAAATTGCTTTTAATTAAACAAAGAAACAAGGAATTTCTAAATCTAGGAATATAAAATGAGATTCACAATCTTGTACCACCACTATCACAGAAAACCCTAAAAATCAGAGTACACTTTCTTATACTTAAACTTTTTAGAACAAAATTATTTCAATGTACAGCTACACATTTAGAACAAATCTCTGAGGTCATCAGGAAAGATTTAACTGAGATTTAATTCAGTCTCGGTGTGTTGTCTTCACAAACACTGACCCTTTTTTATTTTATTTTTGTTTTACTTTCACCTCTCTTTTTAAACAAATGAAGTCAGAGGGGAGCACATTAAATATGGAGCACTTGTGGCATGATAGTGTCCTGAATAATAAATGCAAAAATGAGCGCTCTCTGCCCAGCTGTCAGTGAACAGCTTTGGTTTCAAATACGCCAACACAGGTCTGATGAAGGAAAAAAAAAAACTAACGGATGACCAGAGTGACTTTCATTACGCCTACACTTAATGAAAAATCACCCTGGGAGTGTCTTTGTTAGGTGTAAAACTCTAGCATGCTTTTTACTTGATAAAAAAATAACTAGTCAGATCAGTGATAAATTACAACCAATATTTTATCATTAGTGGCCCTTTAGAGCCTCAGCTGACAGTGTTTGATGATGTATTTATGCCAGGAAGACATAGATAAATTACTTTAAATCTATTGGTGCTTTATAACTCACATACATGCAGTTTTCCTCTACCTCAGAGTACAAAATACCTCAACTGCCTCATATCATGACACATATCTGCCTTTGGTGATTCATGTACCAAAAGGTGCTCCATTATTTCCAAACAGAAACATTACCAACCACACTGGGTGGAAGTCACCAGCATTAGTGTTAACGTAAGGTAAATAGGAGGCCAGAAACTAATGTGGCAACACTTGAGTCAGAGTACGGCGAAAAACTGAACTAATGAAAGGTCTTCTGTGCAGATTGGCAATGACTCATAATACCAACAATCTTAAAAAAGGAACCATCACTGAAATGAGCATTTATTACACAAGCTTAGACACAGATGTGCGAGGAAAAAAGGAGAGCAGAAAAATTTTAAGACTGTGTGAATGCAAACTAAAACGAGGTGGAGACTGAACCATGTCAGAGTTCATAGAAACTGCAAGTTATTATTCTTTTTCAAACTAAATAGAAGGCAATCAACCAATCAGTCAAAACATGTTAGCCTTATAGGTGAAGTGAAAAACATGAACTCAGCAGACTGGCATCGAAAACCAAGAGAACATTCTGTCCCCACACACCACCCCACTTAAAAATAAAGTGTCAGTATAGTAAAAATGTTAAATTTATTCAGCTACACGGCAAAACAGTTTTGCATAAACAAAACTATAACTAAGCATAGACTTTTACAAACATTTAAATAGGTATTAAATGTTGGTATTATATTTCACTCATCCTTTGGTTTAATATGATAGTTGTTTTTGACATTGAGCTAATAATGCCAACAATTCCAGATATTTAAACATATTTTAATGCTGCACATAATCATATAACCATGTCCTTTCAGACCACAGTAAACCACTATGATTAGACATGCTGTTTGCAGCATAAAAACTGTAAAATAGCTTAGAAAAAGGGTAAAAAGTTTAAACATCCAGAAGTTTAACAAAAAAGATGGGGAAAACACACATCTTAAAGAGGTTTCACACAAGGAATATTCATGTTTAAGGAAATAACTGCAAAGAAATGAGGGAGCTTGTGTAATTCACTTACATAATTTTCACTWACGGCAACTCTAGGTTTTGTCTGCACAGTATGATGAGAAGTAATAGGAAGTCTTTCAGAATTTTGTTACTACTACTCCATCTTTTTTGACAATAAAAAGACAAAGCATTTTTTAAACAAAATGGAAGAAGTTGCATAAAGTCCTGTGAAATACTAAAATTGTATTCATTTTTGTATTTCATTTTTTGGTTTTTATTTATTTTTTAAAAGATGTGGTAGAAAAAAAGGCTGTTATGAGTGAATTGGTAGTAAGGCCTCTGCATGATCCACCTGAACTGATGAAATCGGCTCATCATTGTAGTTGCGTGACGAAAATCGCGTCATTCTGTTCGCAGCTCGAATCTGCCACCCCTTTTTGTCACAACTCGCCGAGAGAACTTTTTACCCCCTCCACATAAGAATTTACTGCGTGATCGGACAGAAGTTCGTGGCCGTGTTTGTTTATGCTGAAAAAAAATCTGATGCTGCATTTTGCTTCAACTATTCGCTTCCAAAAAAATAAATAAATAAATAAACACTCACTTCCAGAAGCTGACTGTTGTACCCAGAAGCAGTCATTTATAAAGATAGCAAAATGGCTAGAATCTTATGAAATAAGTTTTGCACAGAGGAATCCATCTGAGGAAAAATGTAGAGCTTTAACTGAGACAGATTTGTGGGCAAATAATGGTGAATCTGAGTTGTTGTGTTTTTCCCCAGACTGTGGACTCCAGCGAGAAGGAACCCTGTGCTGTGACGTGTGGGAGGGGTTTACCTGGAGCTACAGATTGGTGTGTTTCAGGGGCTATGAAAGGTGTGTGCAAAAGCAAACGCCGAACAACCACATGGCCATGCGTCGACTGTTCGGCTTCGGGAGGCCTTTAATGTTCAGTTAGAAGACAGTACGGCTAAATGGACGAACAAACATTTTTGCCTTGACGCTCCCTCTGGCAGTTCAGAAGTCACGGCTAGAGACCCTCTCTTTCATCGCTCGCATGAATTTTCAGAGAACATTAATCAGTACGGTATCAAAAGAGACGTGGAAATAAACTCGGCTGCTCTGATGTGTTGCTGTCACTCAATCTGCAGATGAGTCGCAGGACTCGTGTCCCTTATAATAATAAAAATATAATCAAATGTCTTTTTAAGTTTCAAACTAGTTTCTTACCACAGCTGTATCCATGCTGAAGGATAATTTTAGCTAGTTGTGCCGATCAAGTTTGGATTTCCTCCTCTGCATGTATACTATAAAGCGGAGCTCGCAGGGTAAAATTAAAACAAAACAAAAAAAAAACGAAACTTTAAATCCGGTGGTTCCCGAAGGCGTTAGTCAGCACTACGCTAGCCCACTTTCTCTGGAGACGGCATTTACAATTTCTGTCACTACCTTGCTAGGAGGTACAGAGGCGGGGTGTCTCTGTCCCCMCCTCTGCTCCCGTGTGTCTTCTGAATGAACCGAGGTGGTCAGAACATGTGTCAGTAAAGGTACAGGGTGTCTTCTGAAAGTGAAAGAGTCTTTAGTCCTTTAGTTTCCTCCTCCATCATTTAAATACCATTAATTATAGTTCTTTGTGATCGCGTCACTAACATGCTCCAGTCTCTTTTGAGATGCACAATTTTTGGTAATTAACAACAAGTTTGCATTATAGCAGCTTGTAAAAGTAAATAAATGACACTGTAAAAATTCAACATGTTGGTTAACAGATGTGGACTGTGTTTTCCTTTAGTCCTCATGAAAAGAACAAGCACCAGTGACAGAACGCTACTAAAGCACTGGCATTTTATTGGGAAAGACAAGTTTGACAAGATCTTAAAAAGAATCTATCAAATAACAACCCACTAAGCTGTCACTATAGGTGGCAACATTCCTCCTGCCTTTCAACAAAAACTGAAATTTACAGTTTCATATTGCATTTTAGATGAAGAAAGTACAGTGACACTAAACATTTGTTAATGACTATGTTTCACAAATTATAAGATAAATTTCTAGCAGTTTATCTTAGCAATCTATGTATTGTTATACAACGAAAAATAAGTTGTAACTAGTTAATCAGTTGTAGTTTTAATTTCTGCATGTTGTTCAAGAACCATTATAGTTTCACTGCTGCTTTTATGTCCTTAATTACTGACTAATTTTATAATTACCGAGTCATTTTAATTTACTCTGACCACCTTCTAAGATGAAACAGTGTTGCCCAAATTGCAAAAACCACTGATCAGACTGACTTGACACCATTACAGAGGAAAAGCTAGGCTTTGTGCCTTTCTTTTTCTCTAAACCATTTGGAGCAGGTTGTATGTATATAAACGAGCGATACACCAGAAAAAAATAAAACCTGCAAGTCAGTACAGATTTTCAGCTCTTGTGCAGCTCTAACCTGCCAATACAGATTTAGGCCAAATCAAATATCTTCCAAAAAAAAAAAAAAAAAAAACTATGAACAATGGTAAGCACAACATTTTTGCTAATTTCTGTTGAAAAAGAAAATTCTGTTGTTTGTTATCAAATGTTTACAATAAGCCTAACAAACTGAACTGAAGGGTACCGGACTTCTGTCTTTGATTCTTGAAAATGTTAAGCTTCTCATCCATGGAGCTTTCACAAAATCTAAACAAATGTGTAAAAGTAATTTGCACACATGTTAAACAACTCACAAGATGAATAGCCAAACAGTTTATGAACTTCAAACTCTGCAAATTTAAGTTTAAGACTAAGAAAACAATCCAGATGAGAAGCAACTTCAAGGTACAAAGAAAGAAGTGAATTTGTCTTTGACTGGTTAGGATTACTATGATCTAAATGACAAAGAATCTACACTAGAATAATAATTTTTACCGGGACAAACCAGGACTAAGATCTTTCTCTGCGTAACTGCAAATCTACAACTAATATCCTCCGTACTTACAGGACAGACTATAACATCCTACAGACCAATGTTCTGCAGCATTACCTATAAAGCTACTAAGTTTGACTGTACTATCCTATCTTAAGAACTATAATAAATCACTAGCGTAAATAGGCCCTGTAAGTCAGAGATTTAATTTTTTTTGCCTTAATTCTTTAAACAACAAGTTTCAGATAATGTTAAACTGTTGTAGACTTTTTGTTTTAGGTTTGACATGTTTTTTTGTCCTCCACTTGTACTCTTCACGCATGTTTGGTACAAAACATACTGGGATGGTCAGATACAAGGACTTGACTGAAAATAAGGTGGGGGGCGGGGGCCGGGGGGAACAGACGTCCAAAGACAAATTTTGAACGACCTTTGAGGAACTATAGATTAATTCTGGCCAATAGAAAATAAACTATGAATAACACAGGGGTGATTTAAAACTTTTGTACTGTGTTGTATACGTTGACTCGAAGTCAGCACAAAAAATAGGCTTATACGTCTTTCAAGCGTAAATTTAAAACGTTTAATAAAATTTGCTAAAGTGTGGCAGAACGTACCCGCGAAAGATCAAACAAAACTGGGTACAACAGTAAACTCAGACCAGATGATTTTCTGAACAGTTGTTAGCAAGCCAGTTTCGACAAAAAAGACAAATATCATTCGTGGGTTATTTTAACTTCTAATTCACAATTATAATACAACAACAATACTTTAATAACATTCACACAAAAGTACAGAATGTGAATTATTAAAGCAATATCAGCGTTTTACTTTAAGCTTTTCTTCAACCAGAGCTAACGATGTTAGCTCAGAGATGAAAGCCCTTGATGGTAGCAGCTAACAGCTAACTCGGTAATGTTAGCTTCGCGACAACAATCGGCATTAAAAACACTCCGACGTTGTTGAATAAAGCACAGTTCGACTGTTAATACTAAACAGTTAGAATGAACAAACATTTACAACATATGTAAAACTTACTAGGTAGTTTCAAATTCCCAAAGCTCGTCGAGCCGCTTCCGCTGCCTTGAGAAGCCCCAGTTTTTCCTGTCGAGCTTCCGCCGGCTACTGCCGATCCGGCACCGGCTGCAGCAGATCCGGGAGCTCCGGGAGGCTCAGCGAATGAGCTGGTCCTGGCCCGCCCGCTGCCGCTCATATTTGTGTGAACTAAAGCCGGGTCAGGAAAAAATGTTTAGAGCGAGATCATGGCAAGACACTTTGCCATGTAAATCTGTGATTAAATATTTGATACGAATAATGAATGCACTTACAGCGTTCAGTACAGGTTTCCCGTCTCCCCCTTTCTTCCTCCGTAGAAGAGTGATGGTGGGGGGACTGGGGAGTTGACGCACAACGACGTAAAGTCGCAAGGGAACATGGGAATATGAGTTTTTGCTGGCTTCAATGTTCTTTATTGACAAAAGCACAGAAAAAAAGGTAAATGTTGAAAAACGCTGATTACAAAAATTACAAGAAATATAAACAAAGATTAAATAATCATAGAATAACAATACCAGAAGTTCAAATGATCAACCATCTTTATTAAAAAATAAAAAAGACAAGACAAAATAGAATAAACGTACACATTTTAAAAGTATGTGGTCAATCCTCAAAGACAATCAACAGCTCCATAAAATGGAGATGATATTTTTACTAATACTAGTAACAGAATGTATATTAAAAATGCAAAAAAAAGTTTGTATTTTCTATTAAACCAAGATTTAAAACAAACAAACATCTATCCGTCTGTTTGCTTCCGCTAATCTGGGGTCAGGTTGCGGTGGCAGCAGCCTAAGCAGAGAGACCCAGACTTCCCTCTCCCCAGCCACTTGGGCCAGCTTGTCTAGGGAATCCCAAGGTGTTCCCAGGCCAGCTGAGAAACATAGTCCCTCCAGCGTGTCCTGGGTCTTCCTCTGGGCCTCCTCCAAGTGGAACATTCCTGGAACACCTCACCAGGGGGGCGTCCAGGAGGCATCCTAACCAGATGTTCAAGCCACCTCAACTGGCTCCTCTCGACTTGGAGGAGCAGCAGCTCTACTCTGAGTCCCTCCTGGATGACTGAGCTTCTCACCTTATCTCTAAAGGAGAGCCCAGACACCCTGCAGAGGAAACTCATTTCGAACGCTTGTTTCCGTTATCTCGTTCTTTCAGTCACTACCCAAAGTTCGTGACCAGATGAAGGCAGGAACGTAGACCGACCAGTAAATTGAGAGCTTCGTCTTCTGGCTCAGCTCCCGCTTCACCACGACAAACCGGTACAGTGCTCGCATCACTGCAGACGCAGCACCAATCCACGTGTCGATCTCCCACTCCATTCTTTCCTCATTCGTGAACAAGACTCCAAGAAACTCCTCCACTTGTGGCAGGACCTCCTCCCCGACCCGGAGAAGGCACCCTACCCTTTTCTGGCTCAAGACCATGGTCTCGGATTTGGAGGCACTGATCCTCATCCTGGCTGCTTCACACTTGGCTGCGAACCGCTCCAGTGAGAGCTGGAGATCACGATCTGATGAAGCCAATAGGACCACATCATCCGCAAAAAGCAGAGATGTGATCCTAAGGTCACCAAAAAGGATCCCCTCAACACCTTGGCTGCACCTAGAAATTCTGTCCATAAAACTTATGAAAAGAATCTGTGACAAAGGGCAACCTTGGCGGAGTCCAACTCTCACTGAAAATGAATCTGACATATTACCGGCAATGCAGACCAAACTCTGGCACCAGTTGYACAGGGACCTAACAACCTGTATCAACGGGCCTAGTACCCCATACTCCCGGAGCACCCCCACAGGAATCCCCGAGGGACACGGCTGAACGCCTTCTCCAAGTCCACAAAACACATGTAGACTGGTTGAGCGAACTCCCATGAACCCTCCAGGACCCTGCTGAGGGTGCAGAGAAAACAAACATATGGAAAGAAATGTCTCAGCATTCTGAAAAGTGCTTGCTTCAAGAGACACAAACATTTGATTTAACCTGTGCCATCTCAGCTTCTTTAGCATAACTTTAAGACGTCTGCACTGTCTGAGGGTAACCTTTATTGTTATTTGACCATAAAATAGCAACAAAAAGTTGCATGAAGTTTGCTCTAGGAAAAAAAAAATACTTCACTTCTTTAGATCCATTCATTAAACTTAAGTGAAGAATATTTGCTTGCCTGCAAGTATCCTCACGTTGCAAGTTTGATTTTAATATCTATTAGGATAAGGACTAATACCTATCTAATTGATGACACACACTTCAGTCACTTCTACAYGACTGCGGCTGTTGGCCAGAATGTGATGTCTTCATGAGGTGTCCAACCTTCATTGGATGTTTCAACCCTTAACCAAAATGTCCTCCAGTTGGTGGGTCCAGCAGTGATGACCAGTCACTTTACCTCAGCAATAAATCACCTTTGAAGAAGGCTCTACATATTTTCATAGAGGTTATGATCATAATCCAGCACTCACAGAATTGCTGCAAAATCAATTCAAATAAGTGAAGTAATAGTCTACTATTACTATTAATAGTGATATAGTAATAGTAATAGTGAAATATGAGTCTCTTGGAGGAGAGATGAAACGTTTCACTAAAGAAGAACCAATCCAGAGGACCTATTTATTTTTTCTTTTTCAATTCAAATAAGGAAACTGCCATAAACAAAACAAAACAAAAAAGWTGAACTGTGATAATTATGTAAACAATTTTCAAAATGTGTGCAAAAACGAAATTTTTGTCAGTAATATCTTTAAAAAAAACTACACTTCCCATCATCAAAGTCCCCATTTTGATTGACAGTGGCTCTGTCCAATCAGAAGATCTGAAATACGTTCGACTACCGCATTGGGCGGAGCGTTGTGTATCACAAGAATGAGGCAATCAGCGGGCTAACATTTCATTTCGTGCTTTSTAGTGTAAGTAAAACGAACATCTTTTAGCTTTGTCTACCATTTTAACCAATTTGTCGCAAAGGAGTAACGGAAACACCTGTATGAACTACGAGTGACGACTACAAGAAGGATCGTCCAACCAGAGTAAATGAGCGGGAGCGATAAGGGTAAAGAAGGGCCCGCCGTCGAAGCCATAGAGCTGCGGGGGAAAGTGGGTAGCGCCGCCTGACGGACCGCCCGATAAACCGGCTGCCCCTCTCAGGAAACCGCGGTGCCGAAAAACAGGTCTACTTCATCCGAGGGAGCGCCGCCAACAGCTCTCCATACGCTATCACACAATGTAAACTTAAAAAAGCTCATTTAATTTGGGAGGAAAATAAGAATTGCTTAGCTTCTAGCTGTAGCTTGTGCTATAAAAGTTAGCAACAGAGGCCTGTCTTTTAACTGAAGCCTGTTTAATGTTACTCTAAACGAATTAATATGATCACTGCTGGATATATCTGCTTGTTAATTGGTACTGTTGGTGTAGAAGTCTATTATAAATATAAGATTACACTTTTTCATACGTGATTTTTTTCTGCCTCTGCAGGTGTTTTCATTCACTGGATCTCACCGTGAAGTTTCCCTTTACTTTCTTACTTGCTGCACACATCCTTCTATGATACACTCCCAACCAAGTCAGCACACACACCGAGATAGCCTGTCATGATGGCTGAGCATGGGCAGGAGGAGGCGGGGGGCGAGTATGTGGAACACCAGTACATGTGCAGTGAGTGCCATCAGCTATTCAACACCCTCGAAGAGGTGCTGGTCCACCAGCAGATCCATACAGGCCAGGATGTGGAGGSAGAGGCTGTCCCGGAGATGGGGGAGAGTCAGCACTATCAATGTTTGGAGTGCGGGAGCCTCCTTGTCAATGCGGACGAGCTGCTGCAGCATCAGGAGATGCACATGAGTGAGGCTGGGATGGAGGTGGAGCAGCAAGGTGAAAWAGACAAATGCTGCAAACACACACAAAATATAAAAACACAGAGAGRTAAACTAACACTAATGTTTTTGACTGTTTTTTCAGAGTTTTGTGAGGTTCTGGAGATGGAGGGAGCCAGCTCAGAGGCTCAGGGTTCAGAATCTGTTCACTACCAATGCCTCGACTGTCTGGCTCTGTTTGACTCGCCTGATACATGGCTGGAGCACCGGCGAACCCACAGCAGGAGCAGCACACACAGTAACACACAGACCACAGTAAGGAGCTCAAAACACTGAAGGTTTTGAATGCCTTTGGATGAATTATGGGTTTAATGTTGGGGGTGTCTCAACGCTAGTTTTTYCTCAAACCGAGTACGAGTACTTCAGTTTGGATGACTGAGAATCTACAGAAATATATGACAGTATAATTGGTATCAATAAGTTTCTGTACATGCTGCACCGGAGCAGCCAGCAAGATTCAGGTTAAAATGTAAACCGTGAACTGAACAACCGGGTCAGATAAATATTAAATGGGTAGCATCAGAATTGACATGCTAACATGTAGGGTTCATGCTGGAGACCTGCTTACTTCTTTAAACAGTGAGCTGTGAGCTGAGTGTGTCGTCACGCCAAATTCTGTGCATGCGGGTTGTACTGATGGCATAAAGCGTTCACCCTGGAGTCTGATGGAGCTCACATTTATCCGTGCATTTGTCCACTGAAAAAAAGTTGGTATCGGTTCTGGATATTGGGGCATTTTGAATGAGTATGGGAACTTTTAAAAACACTGGCATTGGGACACCACTATATAATGCTGTTTGAGAAAGCACAAGTTTCAGTCAGACTTGGCCAAACCTCAGATATTAAGTCTCCAATATTGACAAGAGTCTTAATCTGTTTGAGGAAATGTATCTTTTATTTGTTTGGGAATGCATTAACATTTGTTTTTGCTCTTGTGTATGAGGAGTATGTGGTGCAGCCGGACGGCTCCGTCGCTCCTCTGAACAGTGTACAGAACATTGTGCTGAGTGAGCAGCAGGCTGGGGAGATCTTGGCACAGGTATTTTCATTCAAAGCTGGAATAAAGTATTATTTATTTTGATATTTTCTAATGGTGGTCTGCGTTATTTGTCATGAGCGTTCCAGTTCTAGTTTCTACTGAAGCTTTTTCTTGGTGTTTGCCAGGTTCTGTCTCACCAGAAGCAGCAGCAACAGCCAAAGAAGCGTTCGTCTGCCTCGAAATCCCCCCGCTCCTCCTACCTGCTGCCCCCCATCACCCCGGCGCCAGGCTCTGCCACCATGCACCTGCAGATCCTCACGGCTCAGGCTCTGGCCGACAGCTCCACCGCTCAGAGTGCGCTCCGCTTCAAGCAGCCCCCTCTGCTCTGCGTGGGCCAGAGCTCGCCAGCAAAGCCGGGGGTCTTGGAGAACGGTGTTCAGAGGCTGGAGCTGAGGCTGGCCCCCGCTGTGCACGCTGACTACCAGCAGCAGCAAACAGAACTGGTGGTCATTCACCCTTACGAATGCTCCGAATGCTCTCTTCTCTTCCAAACCCCAGAGGACTTCCTGCAGCACCAAGGAGAGCACTTCCTCTGCCAGGACAAGGAGAGCGGAGGGCGGGGGGTCATGACCGGCCTCGAGGAGCTGCGAGGAAGAGAGGAGTCCGCAGAAAGCGCRGAGGACCCGAGGAGCAGAGTCGTGGAGAAGAAAGCGGTGGTACGAGCCAAGGCCTTGCAGTGCCAGCTCTGCAGCCGCTCCTTCACCTCGGTCAACCGGCTGGCCGCTCACCAGCGTGTGCACGAGGAGGGCACGCACCGGTGTCCGGACTGCGGCAGGTTGTTCAAGAAGGCCATGTCACTGCACACGCACATGCGCACGCACTCGGGTGTCGCACGCTATCTGTGTGTGGACTGTGGCGGCGGCTTCACCACCGAGATGACCCTCATCATGCACAGGTGAACATTCTATTAATATTATTAATCACWACTGAAWTGAGGGCGATATGTTTGTCTGTCRTGTTAGCAAAACATTAACTGTGTGTCGATAACTGAAAACCAGTGGGACTCAACCCAAAAGCTAACAAATGACCCATAACGCTCATAAATGTTGTAACGTTCRCAATTAACATGATTTCATTTTGAAAACTCGTGCATAAAATTCATCAGGTGATGTGTTTTGTTTCATGCAAGAAATGTCATTCCTGCAGTTATGAGGTGGATTCTTTTCAGTTTTTTATATTTTCCTCCTGGTTTTTGCAGGAAGTCACATGTYGCAGATCCTTTTCACAAGTGTCAGTTCTGCAACAAAACCTTCACCAACATGACCAAGTACCTCTACCACCGCCGGACCCACCTCAACCGTGATGCATCTGACACAGCCGCTGCTGTCTTTGTGGTAGGAAAATGCCAACCTTCCTTTCTTTTGATTGCTTCACTCCCTCTTTTTAGTCCTTTTTTTTTTGACAAATTCTTCTCATCTGCTTCAGGCTTCACCTCCAAGAAGAGCATCCGTCACGGCTCTYGCCATCCTGCAGAGAGTAAGAGAGTCCAAGATGTCCGACCTGCTGGCGCCTCTGACAGAGAAAGAGATGGCAGCTTTAGACATGTCAAATGACATCTCCCCTAACAGAACGGACACAAGCGAATCAACGATGAAGCAGAAGGCTGGYGAAATGCCGGCGTCTGATTCAGCTGATGGAAACCAACAGTTGAAAACAGACGATGCCCCTAATTCAAGTTTAAAGTCCGTTTCTTTGGTTGGCAGTGGAGTTACGATGAACACTGCCGTCTCAGGAAAAGCTGCTTGGACCTCGTCTTCAGACAGAGAGCCTTTTTGTTGCCGTTCATGCCACAAAACCTTTACTTCTCAGCTGCTGCTCGCCCATCACCGGCGCCAGTCCCACACCCTGCAGCGCAGGTTCACGTGCGGCATTTGTGGGAAGTCTTTCAAGAAGCAGATCCACGTTCAAAACCACATGCGGATACATACGGGGGAGAAGCCCTTCCAGTGTTCGGACTGTGGGAAGACCTTCTCRTTGCTGGCCAACCTGATGAGGCACACGCTCATTCATTCCGGCGTGCGCCCGTACCRCTGCGACGTCTGCTACCGCTCCTTCTCCCAGTCGTCCAACCTGCGTCAGCACAGCCTGCTGCACTCCAGCGCGCCCAGACTCACCTGCCCCGCGTGTCCTGCCACGTTTCGTTGGGCCAACAAACTGGCRGCGCATCGTTTTACCCAGCATCCAGGAGCTCCAGCTCCTTTTCCCTGTCCTCACTGTGAAACCGGCTTCCTGACTCGGAGCCAGCGGGAGCGACACTGTGTGGAGCAGCACGCCGCACAGCTGCAGGCTGCAGAGGAAAGACGAGACCTCAGCTCAGAACCCTCTACCTCAACAACCATCGTTACAGAACCAGGGGAGTCCAGCTGTTTGCTGAAAGAGACTTTGGATTGCAACATCTGTGGGAAGAAGCTGAATTCTGCTGCCAATCTGCGACTTCACAGACTGAGTCACTTTGCTCTGGGCGGCAGGCGGCCCCGCTGCGCCCCYGGCAAGCGGCCGAAGGCTCACCAGTGTCCCATCTGTGGCAAACTGTTCGTGTCGTCMTCCGCCGTCGCGCTCCACCAGCGAGTCCACACGGGCGAGCGGCCGTTCCCCTGCCAGGTGTGCGGGAAGCGCTTCCGGCAGAGCACGCACCTGCGGGAGCACCTGCGCACGCACTCGGGCGAGCGGCCGTTCCGCTGCGAGATGTGCGGGAAGGGTTTCATCCAGAGCATGCATTTGACGGAGCACCGCCGGACRCACACGGGCGAGCGGCCACACGAGTGCCCGCTGTGCGGCAAAGCCTTCAAGACCCTCTCCAACCTGCGGAACCACAAGAAGACCCACGCCAGGCGGCAGAAGCTYGACGAGGAGGCGGCTGCCCAGGCTGTCGTGGAGACCGGCGCCGCCRTGGCCGTGGTGGACGCCTCTGCAGCGAACACGCCTCAGCTAATCCAGATCCAGACCTCAGATCTACAGCAGGTAGGAGCTWAAACTTCAGCTGCTTAAAGCTTACTCACTGTTAGGGCTGCCACAAACGATTATTTTTATAATSGATTTATCACCGATTCTTTTTTTTCGATTAGTCGACTAATCGGATCATACGTTAATTGAATATAAAACATACAACTTATTGCGCCAGAATGCAGCTGTTATTATATAACCATGGTTAGATTTTAGCTATATGCTAACTAAAAATAATTGCTGTGGAAGGCAAGTTCTGCTCTGCAGATATTGCACAGGTTTCTCTTTCATTTTCTTAAAATGATCCCACACTTTTGAGCTCCGTTGGTTGGTAGCCATGACACCAGAGCCTGTCTGTATAATGTCTTGTGACGTCCACGGCCTACMCCAGTTACCACTACTGTGCATGTGTGTCAAGGACAGAAAGGCAGATGTGGCAGTGGAAGSTGTCAAAGCAGTTTGGAGAGAAAAACAAAGTAAAGAACAAAATAAACAGAAAAGAAAACGATTAATCGATTATTAGTCAACGATTATTTTAATAATCGATTAGTCGTTGACTAATTGACTCATAGTGGCAGCCCTACTCACTGTGAAGTATGAATCAAACATTAAAAGATGACCCTGAACTAAATAAAATAAAGCTCAATATTAAATAAAATAAAACATTTTCTAAATTTAGAAACATTATACAGTAAATGCTATATTGTTGTTTAATACTTCCATACATGACTTACTGTGTGGAAATTTGGGGAAATTCCTATAAAACCAATACAAAACCTATTTACTGTATATGTTTCAGAAGAAAGCTATACGAATTATAAATGCATTAGATGATTGTCATCCAAGAAATGACATATTTATCACATTGCATACTTTTAAACTTTTATGATTTAGTAAAACTTAGAACAGCATTGACAATGTACAAAGTTTATACTAAAGTCCTTCCACATTGTTTACAGAAGTGGTTCAAAATTAAAGAAACAAATTATGAATTCAGAAAGAAAGATTTATTTAGAAAAACAAAGGTTAGGACAAATATTAAAAATAATTGTACCTCTGTTAGAGGGATTTGTGTTTGGAATAATTGCTGTGAAGAGTTAAAACTGTGTTCTTCACTAACTAAATTTAAAATAATGTATAAAAACTATTTGTTACAGAAATATACTAAGTTTTGATTGATTGTTTGCTGCTGCTAGAGTTTTGTTACAAATTTGGTTAGGGTTAAAATTTTTATTTAATAAAATCTATAAGAAAGATGTTGATTTGATTTTGATAACGTATGAATAAAAAGTGAAGGTATTAAAGCTTAGGCTTCTACCTACACATTTTTTTTCAGTCTATGCCTTGTCTTTTTGACACTGACAGGAATTTAAAGATTGTGTATTATTTTATTTCTGTATTTTTTTTCTGTAGTTGTTCAGATGGACTGGTTTTGGTGATTTAAAAAAAAAAATTATTCAAACAATAAACAAAAGTCAGATCCAGAAAAAAAAATGGTGCGGTTAGTTTTTAAGGTATTGTAAGAAAATACGGCTGAAGTCAGATGAAAACACCAGTGTTAAATAAAATGATCTGTGATAAGAAATAATGTCATACAACACCAGAATTCTGGAGTGGGGGTTTATTTTGCCACTGGCTGACAAGTCAAAACCACACACTGAATTAAAAACAGGAAGTCCCCCTTATAAATACAGCCCAGAAATCTTCAATGCCTGAGTTCGCCCCCTGCTGGCTTACGGCTGAATCCCAGGCATTCGGACAAACAATCTTCACTCTTATGTAATTACAGCTTTAAAAATATGTGTTGTTTAATGATTCGGACATGTATCTACCCTATATAATTAACACGTAATATAACCAACATTATAAAAGTATTATAAAATGAGGAAACCCTAATACTCTGGTGGTGTTTGTAATCAGTACTGAGCTATAATAACTATAAATTTCTTCAATATATTGGAAGCATTTGTGAAATGCAGGTTCACACTCAATGTAAACAACCTGTTCAGCTAAATCTGGTCACACGTTTTGTCTGAACCTCAGTGAGCTTTATGTCCATCTCATCTGCTTCGACATGGAGCACTAAACAGTAAAAGGCAGATTTCATTAGGGGTGGGATTTTTTACTCTCTCACGATTCGATTCTGATTTTTGATTCAATTCAAAATCGATTTTTCATTCAAAGCTGATAATGTGAGCCCATTTGCCGTGTTTCCAAAGTGCTTCATCTTCATTTTGCAAACCTTGCACAAAGTGACGCTCACGTCAAACTCAGACTCATTCAGTAAAAACCAAAACGAGCCCAAATCTTTGCATTCAATGAAGACGGGGGTCAGTTGAATCAATCTTTCCTCCAGTTCTGTAGCTTCCTCTTTGTTTTGGTGCTTTCTGCACATTCATGTTCCAGAAGCAGCTGCGTGATGATGTCAGGATGTAGTTACACAATGGAGGCTGACGGCCATTGGATTTGCTTTTATTTTTTATTTATAAAAATCGATTTTGGGACATTTTAAATTGATTCTGAATCTTTGTAAATGAGAATCACATTTCTGATGTAAAAAGATTTTTTGCTGCACCCCTAGTTTTTATATTTTATTGGAAATCCAGTCAAACCATTTCTGCTTCAGAGGAACTTCAGAGGCGTAGCAGCAGCAGGTTAATATCTGTTCCTCATGCTGCCTTGGTTCTTAAATAAAATCTCACTCTGATAGAAAGAACTTATAGGATTTGTTCAAAAGTATTTCATGAAAGGAAATCTAATTTCTTTTATTATTTCTAATTGAGACACATGCTGACTCAGCTTTTCAGATTACACCAGTGGCCTTGTCACTGATGATGATGTTTTCTAAAGAAATGTTTCTAATCTACTTAATCCCTGATATTTGAACCTTATACTAATTAGAAAAAAACTAAATATAATTTTTCAGAAGCATTTTTCTTGCTGCATATATTTGTGCAGATGTTTTATTATGACTTTAGTCATTTATAACATGCTCCACTGTAAAGAATCACAGCAATTAGCCTTTTTTCTATCCTTAAGAATGGCCCCAAATATCTTTTTAAATACAATTTAGGTCTGGATAAGTAAGGAATTTAGAAATAAAAATTGCATAGTAACCCTTGTATGAATGACAGGGCTTGCTTCTTATTTTGCGTCTTATTTAATTTTCATTTGGAATATTCCTCCTCACAGGCGCGAGGCACCCCCACCATCATGTGTAACGAGTTTGGAGAGACCATCGCCATCATTGAGACCAGTGAAGGAGGGGCGCTGCCTCTGGAGCAGGCGCTGGAGATCTACCAGACCGCTCTGGAGAACGGCCTCGCCGTGGACACCGTCGCAGATGGGCTGCAGCTGCTGTGATTGAAGAGAATTAATGCTTCAAAGATGAATGGACTGAATCAGTACAGCTCTTTATATTGACTGAGACAAAACGATTCATGATTATTTAACAAAAGATTGATGTTTAGTAGGATTTACTGGATACTTAGATATTTATGTTTTGGACAATTAATTTGGCAAACAGACCAAAGTGTGTCAGTGTCCCTGTTGAGTGAAGCTACAAAGATTAAAGTGGTGAAATCATTTGATATGTTAATGTAGTTGAGGACCATTGTTTTGTGCCACAGATGACATTTGTATTAATAAATTTAATTATGTTTGTCATAAAGAAGTTTAAAATAAAATTAAAAAAATATTTAAAATCATCATTTCTTAGTACTTAAACTGTATGAACTTTATTTTTTCCTGGTGGTGGAGACTGATGCATCCAGTGCTCCAAAACATCTCTATTTTGATATTTTGGGATAGACGAAATAAGACCAAACTCTTGTTCAACTACCCCATCTATGTAAGGTATGGGTAAAAAAAAAACACAAACTTGAATAAATAAGCTTAATTAAATAATCTGACCCATCATATCTAAATGAGGATTAATCTAAAAGTGGAAAAAGAGGCAGATAGTGTTTTGATTAAAACATTTGCAAAAATTGCATTTTGTCAAAATATAACAAATGTGTTATCAATGTATCATTTGAATGAACTGTCTGAAATACTAAAAAATGTTTTCTGAAGCACTTTTTTGAGGAGTGGCAACAAAAATCGTGATTTTGAGGAAAAACGCCTTAATTTGTTTTTAGATTTTCCCAGAAGCTTTTGTTTCTTTCTAGTTGGGAAATCTCAATATTCAAATACTATTTGAGGTTTCTTCTTTAAAATGACAAAAAATTCTCATTAAGATTACAGAAATTATAATCGAGACCAAATATTTATGCATTATAACCAACAAGACCAATTAAGTCATATCTCTGGATCCACTTATATCAGGATGATCTAAGTATAAAATGTAGCTTTTAAAGCCAGGAATCTGAAAATGTGATGAAGTCATTTTGACCAAATTTGACTTAATACTTGTTTCGAAATGATGGGTCACAAATACGTAACAATTAAAATTACAATATAATTGGGGCAGGTTAATCATTCCTGTCTAAGCAGAAGTATAACTATTACACCTATTTTTACTAAATAATGAAAACAAATTAACATTTTAATGATTTATGTTAATATTAATAAGTAAAACAACACAAGACCTTTTGTTCCATTTTATGTATTTATTCTTCAGTAATGTTTTAAAAGTCAACTTATGGTCAATGACAGATTTTTTTTTCCATATCAATATTGAGTCTACCGACTCTACAGTATTTATTTACAACACAACCAAGTCTTGCACAAAGACAACCAGTATTATGTTCTACCAGCTCTCTTTGATTCATCACCTCCCTTTACTTCCCAGGTTCTTTTGTTTTTTCTCTACCATTCTACAAAGGGAGGTCAGGAGAGAGCAATAAAGTGACAAAAGGAGGAAGGAGGGGAGGACAGAGGTGCAGGGAGGAGATGTAGAAAAAGTGTTGAGGTTATAGAAATGGAGCTTGGTGGGGGAAAGAGGCATACTAGGTTCTCTAAAAACATACGGTTTATTACTGTTGAAACGACATAAAAGGTCCGTGTTATTCCTGTAAAAATGAAGAGTAAAAAGAATCACACCACAGGTCCTTGCTGAGGTGAGAGGCCAGTCAAGGGAAGACTACAATGGAGGAAATGTACAGGTGTGAAGCAGCACCTGCCTCCAAAATCATTTTAAAAAAACAAACATGAAAGCTGATGCTGGCAGAAATAAAACTGCCACAAAACAAAATAAATGGACAAGGGTTCATTAATGATATACGGTAATAAAAACAGTACAACAACAAATWGAATATGAAAATGTTAAATATAAAGCAAGATGTTTAAAAAAACACAATAAAACTGCTTGGCAATAGAAGTCATTTTGAAGTCTGACCTCTCTAAGAACCAGGATGTGCCCGGTGACTCTGACCCTCTTCCTTTCTTCATGGCTAACGAGAGGCACAGGAATGCTCGCTTCTCACCTACTGGTGTCTGCGAGGGTCGCTCCAGGAATGATGGCACCGCCAAAAGTCTGTTTTTCAGTACAACGCCCCCCTCTGAAGGTCTCCGGGTGAGAAATAGATCTCTGGAGGTCCACTGAAATCTTTATTTTTTTAAGTCAGTGTTTCAGACTCTTAAGGGACCAGCCCTCAAAGGTCAGCAGAAACAGTCCCAACAGTTGAGTTCACACACAGGTTGTTCCTCAAAGCTTACTGCCTTTACTCATCTAAAGGGATTTAAAAACACAACAAATATCAAAACATAGATCCAACTCTTTTAAAACCGTTCGTTGTCTCAGCAGAAGCAGGTTTCTCTTTCTAAAATAAAAACCGTTTCATCTTCAAGGCAAATGAGTGCAGCCGTGCATGATGGTCCTTCGTCCACTGGCATCTGTCTAAGGGGGTTAATATACATAGTGCTAATGTAGGATTTTCTGTGCCACTCCTTTTAGATGTCCATTTTTTGGTGCAAAGTCCATGTTTAAAAAAAAAAAAAAAGAGTTCAAATATTGCAAACAATCATATCTCGCGCTCAGCGACTGCAGATTCAGAGTATGGATGTGGAAAGCATGGAGGGTGGAAGAGTACGACACGAGGAGTTACTGATTGTCCGCCGGCACTCATCTAGAAGAGTCCTGGGAGTCACGAGGATCCTCTGGGCTTGCCGGGGTCCCTGGCTCCATCTCTTCATCCTGCAGGTCTCCACCTCCCTTTGCAGATCCATCTCCTGACTGGGAGCCTGATGGTCCCGGGAGCGAGGAGGTGGAATCTGAGGGGCCTAAAGCGGCGGCGTCAGAGGGAGTTGCAGTCTGCATGATCTTCTGCCGCACCTCCCTGATCTTCAGCTGCAGACACACTTTAGTGGGAAATATGTCGGAGTATCTTGTCTGGAATGCTGCAGTGGCCTGGGCTGGAAGGAGAAGGAGTGGAATCAGAAACCAACTCTGGAGCGTGCTGTTTGCTCTCAAATACACGAGGAGGGTTTCCTGATGTCTCCTACCTGATGGAAAGAAGCCCTGCTCCTGGAACAGCTGCATGACGAGCGCTCTCCTCTGGTCTAGTGTCCGCCGCAAGGAGGAGTACGGCACTTTTTCAAACTCCAGTTCTGCCAGGATGTCTTCTCCATCTGTCGCTGCAAACGCAACACAAACAGAAAGACTGAGCCGTCAGGAAACTCATCAGAACGTTTAGTGTCTTTGTCTGCCGGAGGAGCAGGAAACAAGTCAGAAATAGATCAAACATCCAACCAGGTTTTTTAGATAAACGTGTGAAAAGGGATCGACTGAAGCAGACGTCAAGCGACCTTTTTTTAAACCACTATTTCAGGAATAAATTAAGAGCTTATTTATTCCACGCATGATCTGAAAGGCTGCCAATGTTCCTACTTCCACAACACCACGCTCATGTGCTTAATACTTGTACAATCAGACAAAAACCTTAATTTACCTCCTGAGTTCCAAGCTTGGAGAAGAAACTCGTGTCTAAAATCTGTGATGTAAGTAAGTAAAGTTTTATTTATATAGCGCCTTTCACAGAAATAAATTCACAAGGTGCTGTACATTCAGGGAAGGGGGGAGGGGGCAGTTAAGACTGGTCATGCAGCAAACACAGTTGTGCTACCTTTAGACAAACAAAACAGAAAAACTAAAAAACCACAAGGGAAAATGAGGAAAAAAGCAAAAACATTATATCAACACTGTGACACACTATGGTGTTAATGAAAAAACTTCTGCATAGAGCAGGATTATTAGCCAGAGGAGTAAGTGAGTTTTAAGGGGGCCTGAAGAATCCAGACCCCAAGGCCAGCACAGCCAAAGTTCAGAATATTGATAGTCAATTGTTATTCTGTGGGGCCTCAGCTTCCTCAGGATCTAATAGACTCCAAAATACTGATTTCATGTATTTGGATAATATCACTGACTAGTTCATCTTAATTTTCTGAGTTTATTACCTGCCCTGTCGAAGGTGAAGATGTCTCCCTCACACTTGGCGGCACTTTTAGGCGTGTTGGGCTCAGAGCTGCAGCTGGAGCGCCGCCGACTCTTTCTCTTTGGGGAAACTTGATCATCAGTGGCAGAATCCAAATCTGTAAGGTGGTTAAAAAAAACTACTTAAAGACCACACACACACACAAAAAAAACTATTTCACAACACAAGCAGTATGAGTGAGACCAGTTGAGTTCTTCCTCTTGCGACGGTAGCTGCCCAGGATGGCGCGAGGCGAGGTGGCCAGACTCTGCAGGGTGGGAGAGGGCAAAACCTCCTCAGGTCGAAACTCCGGCAGCTCTGCAAACCGCTCCTCGAAATATACCTCTGAAAGAACCCTGCCAGTCCAACAAACGCACACACACACACACAACACAGTATATACACACTGTCCTGCAACATTCTCTACACAAAAGCTTCACAGAGGCACTGACTCACTTGTCAACAGAGTCAAAGGTCTTCTTCAGCGGTGGTGGGCGGGCTTTGATCTTTTTGGGTGTAGGGCAGTCTTTGTCAGACTGCGGGGGTGGCAGAGCAGGTTCTGAGCCCGACGGAGGGGGGAGAGGAGAGGACGGGAGAGACTCCTTCCACCCGCCCTGCAGAAAGATTGCAGGTGATTTATGAGAACATGGATCGTCTGCCTGGGTACACCAGCTGGGCTGTGTTGTAGAGAGTGACTCTTCTCTCACCTCTTTGGATGTTGTGCTGTCCCTGCTCCTGGTGTCTGAGGAGTCTGCAGTACTGGAGCCCTCCAGGGGTCTGTCAGAGGATGGCAGCTCCTCAGCTGCATGCACTGATAGAGACTCTGTCTGCACTAACGGCTCAGGATCAAAAGAGAAATGGCTGTTTGCTGCAGCTTCCCTCTCCTTTTCCTTCTCCCGTTCTCTCTCTCTTTCTCTCTCCCTCTCCCGCTCCCTGTCCTTGCCTCGGCCTCCTCCATCATAGCTGCCTACAGGGATGGTTGCCACCATTGCCTTCACTTTCTGAGGGATCCTGACTGGAAGCTGTGATAACTTGTGTGCACTGCCTGCAAATCAGAAAAAAAATGTAAAAATTAGTTGTCAAAACAATACAACTAACTCAGACTGTCCACTTTTAATACTGAATGAAAACAGCTTTAATCATACCAGGTGCTTGGATCTGAATTGGAGGACTGCAGGGTCTGATGGACACAGCTGATCCACCAGGAGGCGCTGCTGAGCTGCTGCTGATTGAGGTTGTCTTCTGCCTCTCAGTCTGTCTGTCTGAATGTGAGAGGACTTCTGCCTGCCTGTCGCTCAGCCTGTCGCTGGATCGATCAGCAGACCTGTCTGGAGGCGGGTGTCTGTCCACCTGTCTGTCTGGAGGGAGCTGTGGGTGTGGGAGCGCCACGCCTGTGGGGGTTGCTGTGTGTTTGGGCAGGATGTGAGGAGAAGTGCTTGAAGGGCTCGAGACAGAGTAGACCACACTAGGGGGCACTGCTGCCATAGAGACCACCCCTGTTGCCATGGTGACGCTTGGTGAAGGAGGGTAGATGGCTGTGACTATCTGGCCCCCGGAGGCGGAGGCTGAGGTGGAGGGCTGGGGGGACTGAGCTGTGGCTAGGAGGGGAGGCTGACCTGGATAAATAGACAGGAGTGATAATTCATAAAAAGTTCCACATGAAAAATGAAAAAACACACATTCTACCTCCAGTTATTCAAAGCAGCTACCCTCTCTCTCTCAACAATACAATCCCTGGCAAAGAAGTATGGAATCACCAGTCTTGGATGAGCAGACATTTCATTCTGTAAAACAAACTCAGATCAAAAACATGATACAATAATAAGGTCATTCCAAAGTGCAACTTGTTGGCTTTCAGGAACACTCAAAGAAATGAAGAGAAAACATTGTGGAAGTCAGTGAATGTTACTTTTATTGACCAAGCACAGGGGGAAAAATATGGAATCACTCAAACTGGAGGTAGAAAATATGGACGCACCCAGTCAATTTCCTTTCCCTAAATGGACACCTGCCTCAGATTAGATCTGCTCATTAGTCTGCAGTTAAAAACACCTGCAGTCATGACAMCTTGGAGGGCTGCTGGACGAAGTGGAGTGGCAAGAACCATGGCTCCAACAAGAGAAATGTCTCTTGAAACCAAAGAGAGGATTGTGAAACTTCTTGAAGAAGGTAACTCTTCACACATRGTCGTTAAAGATGTGGGCTGTTYACAGTCAGCTGTATCCAAGATATGGACCAAATACAAACAGCATTGCATGGTTKTTAAAGCCAAGTGTACTGGTAGACCAAGAAAGACATCAAAGCATCAAGACAAACAACTTAAGGTCATTTGTCTTGAAAACCAAAAAAGTAGAACTAAACAGATGAAGCATAACTGGGAGGAAGCTGGAGCCAATGTATGTGACCAAACCGTAAGAAGTCGCCTAAAGGAAATGGGATTTCAATACAGGAAAGCTAAAAGAAAACCATCATTGACACCTAAACACAAAAGAACAAGACTGCAATGGGCTAAGGAGAGGCAAACATGGACTGCGTATGACTGGATGAAAGTTATCTTCAGTGATGAGTCAAGAATCTGCATTGGACAAGGTGATGATGCTGGAACTTTTGTTTGGTGCCGTTCCAGTGAGATTTATGAAGAGGACTGCCTGAAGAAAACAACCAAATTTCCACAGTCCTTGATGATATGGGGCTGCATGTCAGGCAAAGGCACTGGGGAGATGACTGTGGTTAATAATTCTTCTATCAATGCACAAGTTTACATTGACATTTTGGACAGTTTTCTCATCCCTTCAATTGAACAGATGTTTTTGAGGTGATGAAATAATTTTCCAAGATGACAATGCATCGTGCCATAGGGCAAAAACAGTGAAGCCATTCCTTGGAGAAAGACACATTCAGTCGATGTCATGGCCTGCAAATAGTCCAGATCTCAACCCAATTGAAAACCTGTGGTGGAAATTGAAAAAAATGGTCCACAAGAAGGCTCCAACCTGCAAAGCTGATCTGGCAACTGCTATCAGAGAGTTGGCACCAAATAGATGAAGAATACTGTTTGTCACTCATCAAGTCCATGCCTCAGATACTGCAAGCTGTTATAAAAGCCAAAGGAGGTGCAACTAAATACTAGTGATGTACTTTGAATGGTCTTTTGTTTATCTGTTTTTCATGATTCCATACTTTTTTTTCCTCAGAATTGAGTGATTCCATGTTCTCTTTTCCCCAGTGCTTGGTCAATAAAAGTAGCATTCACTGACTTCCACAATGTTTTATCTTCATTTCTTTGAGTGTTCCTGAAAGCCAATAAGTTRCACATTGGAATGATCTTATTATTGTATCATGTTTTTGATCTGAGTTTGTTCTACAGAATGAAATGTCTGAATGAGTGCTCATCCAAGACTGGTGATTCCATACTTTTTGCCAGGTAAATGTCTGAATGAGTGCTCATCCAAGACTGGTGATTCCATACTTTTTGCCAGGGCTTGTATGTTCAGATCCTATTGGGCAGCTGGCAGCGTGACTTAGGACCATCAGGGYGTTCTATTACTCAAGGCCTGCTCTCTCAGTACGAGTGGTTTTGCATTAAGACCCTGGATTTAGTTTCCCCTTTAAAAACCAGCGGTCCTAAACTCTCGCCCCAGCTGTGGTTGAATACACGAGCGGCCAGACGTCAGTGTAGAAAAGCAGAGCGTAAATGGAAGAAAGACAAATTACAGGTCTCTTTTATCAACTTGAAAATGTCTTGGAAATTTTAATCAGGCCACAGTTAAATCTGAAAAAAACAAATATTTCTCCCAACTTAGTGCCTCGAATTGTCATAATCCTCGGGTTCTTTTTGAGACTTAACTTTATTTTAAACGTGCCTCAGTCTGCTAGCCTAGAGGGCTCTGTAGACATCTGTAATAAATTTAGCAGGTACTTCATTGAAAAGGTTGAGTCAACCAGGGCATCGATTCCACACTCCACAGTTGATCCCTCTGTCTTGTCCCTTGCTCTGCTGTCTTCAGTCARTTTGAGACTGTTTCTATTAATTTTTAAGGGACGTTGTTGATCATATGAGACCTTCGGTTCCCCTGCTGATCTTTTTCCTGCATCGTTTTTTAAAGAAATTTTTCCATCTGTAGGTCCCTTGGTTCTTGCCATTATAAATACCAGTATTGCTACTAGTGAAGTTCCAGATGTTTTTAAACATGCGGTAGTGAAACCATTAATAAAAAAAAAACCTGGACTTGACCCCGCAGTTTGTGCAAAGTTTAGACCTGTTTCAAAACTTCCATTTATTTCTAAAATTTTGGAGAAAATAGTTTTTATTCAACTGAACACCTTTTTAAATGAGAATGGAATTTTTGAAACTTTTCAGTCTGTTTTAAACATTTGCACAGCACTGAAACGGCTCTGGTGAGAGTTTACAATGATATTCCTATGGCAAATGATTCTGGTCACTTTGTGGTCCTGGTACTTCTGGATCTGACTGCAGCTTTTGATACTGTTGACCACAGTATCCTGCTATCATTTGGAACACTGGGTTGGGATCACAGGAGCAGCATTAGATTGGTTTCATTCTTACCCAAGTCGCAGATGTTTTAGTGTTAATGTTGGGAACTTCTTTTCTGCCTCAGAGCCTCTTTCCTGTGGGGTTCCACAGGGATCGATTCTTGGACCGCTTTTGTTTTCTTTATACCTGCTTCCTCCAGGGTATGTTTTTATATAAAACAACTTTCTGTACTTGAAAACCGTCTCCTGCTTTTTGCAAAACTGTGTGTCTTGACTTTTGATTTTCTGGGTGAAAGTTATTGGTTGTTDGTGACAACCAAACTTTAATGTTATTGCCCCGAAAATCACCACTTGCCACATTAGGAAACATGGTCTGTCTTTTCATTGCTATGCTGATGATTGTCAGATCTACCTGCCCTTGAAACCTGGTAATAGAGCTTTCTTCCCAGTTGCTATTAAAATGTCTAGATGACATTAAGGATTTGATGGCTGCAAATTTTTTAAGTTTTAATGACAGGAAAACTGAAGTTATTGTGTTTAGCCCTAGTTTTACTGCTGACACAATTCCATTTAATTTTGTCTCTCTTCAGTTGTATTTGAAGCAGTCTGTTGTAAATCTGGGAATGATTTTGATTCTGATTTGAAGTTTAAGAAGCAGATTAACTGTTTTGCAGTAAGGTTTTTTTTCAGCTAAGACAGATAGCCAAGATCAAGCTGATATTGAGTAGACCTGGCCTTGAGAAAACAGTACATGCTTTTGTTACTAGTCGATTAGATTATTGCAATGTACTTTATGCTGGGATCAGTCAGGTCTCCCTTTCACGTCTTCAGCTTGTTCAGAATGCTGCAGCTCGACTTATAACAGATACTCGTAGGTTTGAGCATGTGTCACCGGTCTTGTCTTCCCTTCATTGGCTCCCAGTGCGCTATAGAATAGATTTTAAAATTCTTCTGCTCACGTACAAATGCCAACATGGCCTTGCACCCTCTTATCTCGTTGATCTACTTCAACCTTACAGTCCTTCTCGGGCATTAAGATCTTCTGGTCAGCTGCTTTTGGTCATTCCTAAAACCAGGCTGAAACTGAGGGGAGATCGAGCTTTTTCAGTTGGAACAATCTACCCCCAAATGTTAGACAGGCCTCGTCACTTCCTGTTTTTAAATCTCCATTAAAAACACACACGTTTTCTCAGATTTTTTTTATTGATTGTGAGTTATGTATTTGTTGTTGCTGTTTTATCTTTTATAATTTTAAGAATGTCATTTGTTTTTTTATATAGACTTTTGCCTTGTGTTCAGCACTTTGGTGAAAACTTGTTGTTTTTAAATGTGCTTTATAAATAAACTTGATGATGATGATCAACAGCAGGACCTTTCATTGTCCACGTTTTAGGGAAATGAAAAGGTCCCACATATTGTTTGGTTTGGACTTCGCCTCAGWTTAAATTTAAAGTTGTCCAAACAGAACTTTCATTTTGGACAAAAATAAAGTAAGTGGTCTTAGTTCAGATCAAACTGAAATATGTGTCTGCTCAAACCATAAACCAGGAAGCTGTGCTGGATTTGACTCACACAATAAACAAACCACTTTGGAGTTCGCTCCAAGACCCCCTCCTCCATAGGAGGTCATCACGATTGTTTCGGTCTGCACCTACATGTGGCTACTGTGTTCACATCTACACAAACGAACCTCAACATGGAGCAATTTAAACTGAGTAAAACAGTGCAGGAATGAAAACACTCTTAGTGTAAGGGAATGAGCTSACAGGAGAGTTGCCATTTGCCCTAGTGTTTGGAAACAGAAACAAGAAAAAGAGAAGTTTTGACTTAATCTTTCCACTAACCTGCGATCAGCGGCTGAACCAGTGTCTGTCCAGGTGGTGCGATGGCTGTAAAGCCAAGTGTTGCTAAGGGTGAGGGAACATATGCAGATCCAGGCACTGGTAGAGCCTGCTGGGTGGGGGAAGAGCCTGTTGTTGTAGAGACCAGGGGCAGGGTGGATGGGACCCCAGGAGTGGACTGGACATAGGTGATTCTGTACAAAAACCAGAGGAGCAATCAGACAATCTGAACTCCAACGAATGACTCAAAACGAAGACAAAACGAGAATGCGGCAGAGAAGAGAACACTTGTAATAAAAATAAAATTCGAGGCGAGGTGTAGCGGTGGTGGCAGATGGTGTTATAGTACAACAGTGAGAAGGGCCTAGAATGTAAGGAACAGAGACACGATCAGACGAAAAGAGGAAGACAAAAAGAGAAGTGCTGCAGCGAGGGTCAGTCGATGAGCGTAAACCACAGCAAGCAGCAGCAGATGACTGGTGCTGTGTGGAGCTGAGAGGTAGTGTGGGGGTGGGCAGGCAGAGGCAACTCAGGCCACCAGCAGGATGACTAACACTTCCAGAATAGAGCTGCACTCTTACAGCAGCATCCCGGCAGGAATTTAGCTTCTTGCATTGTCTGCTCACTGCGTTTTAAGAAAACTAGCCTGTCCTGCGATTAGAACCACTTTGTGATGCCAAACATTCTTTAATCCACCAAAACTTCCTTTACTAGCTGCAAAAACAGGAAGAAAAACTTATTTTGAAAGCAACAGCTGTTAAAAATGTATCAAGATAAGAGTGTGCTTAGAATAAAACAATCATGTTTAAAATGGGCTTGACCTTTAAATGATCTTTTGTGGTGTAAACCTGAACATTTTATAATCTGAATGCTGGGCTGAACTGTCACAACAAAAAGCATTTATTCCAGAAAATATCCTCTTAGTTACATTAAGTTTACTAATGATTCTGAATACAATCCTCAAGTATCTATTCTCTTTATATTCAGTGACTGCAGTAGTTTATTTGGACAAAAATATTGTTTTAGGAAAAACCCAACAGTAAATCAGCAGCAGTTTAATGTTGATTTAATATTGACACGTACAAACTTTTGTTTTGTGAATAAATGAATCATGTTTTGCTTTTCCCAATTTATTCTCACAGTTTGCAGATTATTTTACAGTGCCTGAAGCATTTTTGTCACCTCTTCATAACCCTGATAGTAGTTGTCATAAATTTAATCCAAAGGTTGGAATTAAAAATCTTGATATCTAAATGTCACCTCATTAACTTTATACCACATCTTTAAATTTATACATCAAGTTTAAGCTTAGTTTAAGCTCACAATTAAAATCAGAAATAAACTTATCTTTTTAAATATAACAGAAAGAAAGACGTCCAAATAAGAGTAATAGCAGTTTTTAATAGACATATTTATCCTTTGTTGCCTAGGACTTCTTGATAAAAATAAAGTCTCCATGACAACAAAAAGACAAAAAGGATTTTCACACTTCTTTTCTAAATTTGGCTCATTTGAGACAATAATTATTTGAACAGTTTAGACTTTTTGTTCAACAAAATGTGACTTCATCTGGCTGAAGAGCTTCGCATCTACTGCAGTCATTTAGGTACCAACATTCAAGAATGAAGTGTTAAGATCAGTACACTGAATATCTGAAAGATGATGGTCAAATAAAAATAAAAATTGATGAGCAAAAACATTTGAAGAAAAAAACAGTATGGTTTTATTTTCCTTCCTAGAAAACAGAACTGATTAAATTTCTCACATCAGCATAAACTAAAGCCAGACCACACAAAACGTTAGACACAAGCAAACCCAGAGCTGAGCATTCAGACGTGCAGTGTGAACGTACTTTGTTACATGAAACTGTTTCATAACCTACTCTGCAGCTGCTCTCAGGTCCTACCTGGTGGGTGCTGAAGGCAGAAGTACAGCTTGTGAAGGGGCTGACCCTGGAGCTACCACCGCAGCTGTGCCCACCGTTACTGGGAAGGGGCTGGAGGGATGCACTGCTCCTCCTTGAGGCAGCTGGGACTGCACCACAGGCATGGGAGCAAACTGGAAGATCTGAGGAGGCATCAGCAGAGGAGGTTTAACAAAAGTCACATCTGTCACCAGCAACACAAGCAGGTTTAGTAAGAAGTGCCCTCTCACCTTGCTTCCAGAYTGGGAACCATTCTGGACAGGAAGAGGCGGAGCCACAAGAGGAAACTGCGAGGCAGGGGCTGCTGCGGTCCTTACTGTTGGCATGGAAACGAGCATTTTACCTTGCAGAACTGGAGACTGAGTTTGAACTGGTGAGAAACCAGAGGAGCAGACAGAGGGAGTGAGTGTCTCATTAGGTGAAACAGAACACGTCTGAATGTTGGTTCTGGCTGAACTCTCACCTCTGGTTCCAGGACTGACCATGCCCAGCGCTGGACTGGACGTATACCCTGCTGGTAAACCCGTCCCGTGGTGTTTCCCGTTGGCCACTTGTGTTGGCGGGGCTGTGGGCAGGTTGAAGATGCTGGTTGGCTGGCTGAGGTTCTGCGGTGGACTCTTGGAGTTAGCAGGTAGAGTGGGGAGAATGTACTGAACTTGTGTGATGGCTTTACCCACAGGGGGTGCCAGGGAGGAGGCAGGAAGGAACTGGGGCTGAAGCAGGGGCAGGGGTCCGTTGGTTTGGCTATGTGGAGCTGAAACCATGCTGGAGGGAAGTGCCTGCTGGTGGGACGGCTGAGGCTGGGGGGAGGGGGTGATGAGCTGTACAGCAGACTGTCCAGGCAGAGCCCCTGGTAACACTAAATTAGTCACTACACCACCTTGGCCCATACCTGCACCTGTAGGATTTGGTGATGATGAAGGATAGGCCCCACCCACTGTGGCTGCAGCCCCACCCCCTGCTCCTGGACCAATCAGAAGCTGTGGCTGCTGCTGGGGAGTTAAGGACTTCCTCTCTGGAGGATGCGGACTGGATGAAGGGCCTCCATCTCTGGGTTTGCTGGTGATGGGGAGCGGTGTGCTGATAACTGGACGCATTACATTCGTCACCACTGTGGAGGCCAGCCTCACCGCGCCAATGCCCAGGAGCTGGTTTGCTCCTGCCGATGAGGACGGAGCTCCTCCGGCTGCAGAAGTGGACATGACTGGTTGACTAGAGGAGATGGAGAGAGAAGAAGCTTGCACACCTCCACCTCCCTCGCCCAGATGAGCGTCCCTGCTCCCTCCATCACCTCTTTCCTTCCTTCGATGATCCGAAAACCCTCCTCCTCCAGATCTCCCCTCATCGTAACGCCTGCTGCTGGGGAAGGAGGACAGTGAGACGCTCCTGCCATGAGGGGTGTGGTGTGACGAAGACGATGATGCAGAAGAGCAGATGACTGGAGCAAATACTCTCTGAAAAAAAGGACATACGAATGTTATTCAGGACTATTTCATTCAAAAAGACCAAATCAGCTAAGCTAGAAACAACTTCTGGTATACCTTCCGATCTCCTTCATCTCCTGAAGCGTTCTCACTGTCGCTGTCAGTCACCCGCTCCTTACACTTAAGATCTATGGAGCTGCCGGGATAAGGGTCCTCTGTGGAAAAGCAGAACACACTACAGCTACACTTGACTTTCTCTGAAATGTAAAATCCTCATAGATGTGGCTCATTAAAACTAAAAACCTGAGGTAATATTGCACATCACATACAGTCATATTTTGCTTGGACAAGCAGAAAATGCCAATTAGTCACAACTTTGTTGCTTATAATAATTTCTGCAGCAGTGCAACATAATCTCACCAAAATGATTAATAATTGTCACAAAAGGTCTCACCTACAGTCAGACTTTTCACAACTTTATCTCACCTGTAAAATTAGCAACTCTCATTAAAACAAATTTTAACAAATTTTAACTATCAGATCTCTGCTAAACGCGTCAGTGACACAGGGAGCAGTGAACTGACATTGTGCTGGCTCTTTTCCAACATGGCCTAATAAATAAAGCATTGTTGGTTCCTCACCAATAACATCATCATCTCCTTCTTCCTCACAGATGACCATACGCTCCTCATCACTGGTCATGTCCTCGCTAACCCCCCGCTGAGTCTGAGAGGGTGTAGGAGCGTGACTGGCAAACTGACTGCCACCATCTCCACACATCTGCAAAAAGAAAGACATGTTGGGATAATTTATCTCCGGTTTTATCTTATTTATGTAAACAATAGATTTTTGTCATCTTCTTGTTGCTTTTGTGGATGTTTGTTTGTGAAACTTGGATAAAATAGAATACTTTGCTTTAAATAAAGTCACAAAGATGTTCTTCCCTGGCTGTTTTGCCTCTTTTACCTGTGCCAGTTCTGCCAGAGCCTGCGTGTTGCCCCTGTCGCCCCGCTCTAAGCTGTGCATGGCACTTTGAGAGAAGGCTCTGGGGCGACTAAGCTGACCCACGTGTCCCTCTCCTGTACTCCTCTCAGACACGCCCATCAGTCCTGGCCCAACACCTTTCAGATCCACAGAGTGTGGCTCTATAAAGACGGTAAAATTACATCTTTTAAAGAACACAACAAAAGCTCTGTGTTTGTGTAAGAAAGAGAAGAAAAAACAACCTGTAGTTTCAGACATGCTCCTCTCTCTGATATCTTTGGTCCCTGGGATCCCTCGACCTTCAGAGCTGGACTTCTTCCTGTCTTTGTTGCACCATTTCCAGTCTGGGTGGGCTTTAAAGTGGGCCTCTTTGACCTAGTAACAAAAACCCATTTTATATTTATTAATCTACCTCACAATTATTGAAATACGTGCAATTTTCTGTATCCATGTTTAGCTGTGCACCTGAAAGGCCAAGTCATGGTACTTCTGTTTCTCCTTGGACCCTAGAGCATACCACCACTCCCCAAGTATCTTGCTGACTGTCCTGTTGTCCTGGTTTGGGTGACGCTGGTGCACTAATGCTCGGTGGCGCTTGCTGAAAATCATAAATGCATTCATCGGCCGTCGGATGTGATCCTTCTCCCTCTGCAAGAGTGAACAATAAAAGCATAAAGATATTAGATCAGCTATTTAAGTGAAAATTGCAGTGATAACAGAGAAACAAACATTACCTTTCCTGGGCTGTTCTTGTCTCCATCTTTGGGAAGTGCACTGAGAGACTGAGTACGTCTCTTTACTGGAGATGTGGAGAGGGGCTGCTCTGGTACAACTCCTGGGAGAAAGCTGAAGGACAAAAAAAAAGAGATCCCTTTAACTATATTCTTTATCAGATATGTTCTTGGAGGCCATAATTACATAAACGTATTCATATGTTTTCCCCATTTGTCTTTAATATTTAAAAAACGATTAGCTCTGCACTTTACATCGGGTTSTATTTACCTTATAGCTGCAAGCAGTTCATTTCCCATGAAGTCCATGAGCATATTCAGCACACAGCTCATCTATTTCAATGGCTGACAGCCTGGCCACTAAGTTACATATTCTTATTGAGATCAGAGATGAAATGCTTTTGTTTCTTTCTGCTTTGTTCTGGCGTTCATCTCTTGTGCTCAAATTAGACCAAAAATACACAAAATATCACACTAACTCACGTCATGTGTGGGTACACTGCACCACAAAGAAAAATGACTGCGAAGCCTGGGTTGGACACTGTGTTATATTAAACAGACATTTTTTTTAATATGTGCTGTTTGAATATTTATGTGTCTCTTTGACTTTCTTTAAAATCCAAATGAAACCACACACACACACACACACACACACACACACACACACNCATATGGGACAACAGCATGCCGACAAACAGTAGAAAATGCACATGAATATAACCCTCTATTAGACGCTCTGTCTTCTTATATAAAATAAAAAAACATGCAGTTTTCAGATTTAATATTTTTTAAATAAACAAATATTTTTGTCTGAAATAGATATGTTTTATGAATTAAATACAACACAGTATAATAAAATGTAGTTGACATTTTATAATCAAGAACTTATTATTTTTATATGATTATTATTATTTAAAATGTCACTATAAAAAGTCATTTTATTTGTTATGTATAAAGAAAATTATATTTTGAAATTAAATAAATAAATATTTTGATTTGTGTGTGTGTAAAACAAATAGAGAATTTTCTTCAGTTACAGTATCATTTTTACTTGCTGAACATTTTCAGTATTCAAATGTTTATTTTGCAGCAACTCCAGCTAAATTCCTAAGAGAGTTTTGCCTTCACTCTAGATTTATTTGCACAATTACTACATTTTTATGAAATCCAACTGTCTGACTGGTACAATGATGATAAACTTATTGAAAGAAAAATGCTTATTGGAAATGCTTTTTCAAGGCCACTAAACAAAGCATCTCGTTTTAATTTAGGCTGTCATCTTGTGTGCTAAACAGTCCTCTAAATGCACAAAAATATATTGAAATTTAAGAAATTTTTGTAAATAATTTTATCAAAGATAAATATATTGTAAGAAGAAAGGCTAAAAGATAAAAAACAAATAAAATAACTTAGTAATAGTCAGTTTTGTTTTGTAAACAGAACAATATATGTAGATTTCATCCAGGAAGAATGACTTTAGTAATACTTTTAAAAGTCTACTTTCTCTGCATGATGAGTAATTATTTTCACTTTGAATTAGTAATCAATATATATTTTCAACTGATTATGCCTGAATAATTAACTATTGTTATGTATATATCTTTGATTGACAAGATGAGTTTTTTCTTTTTAATTTTTGTTCTATGTGGCTGAACACTGATTAAAATTATTTTTCGGCATGCACAAATAAATTATTCAATAGGCTCGTTCAACACAGCTATACTTTTCTGCTGCCGTCCTTTTTGCAAAACTTCACTGTTGTCCAAAAGGTCTCTCCTCCCTCCTTCAACATCACTACATTCACATGCACACACACACACACACACACACACACACACACACACACACACACACACACACAACAGAACAGCTCAGCTCTTACGGGTCGTCCACATCGCTTTCAGTTTCGCTGTCTGGCTTCTCCCTCTCTGCATCTCCTTTCTCCTTCTCTGGAGGTGGCTCGTCACAGGAGGGTGGAGGCCGAGGTGGGGGACCTCTCTCTATGATGGGAGGTGCCTCTGCAGCCTCCTGTGAYAACGCTGCCACCCCTTGACAATCTGAGGAAACAACATTTGGGGAAAGTTAACACAATGCACAAATAAGTGTTCGTCCTGGGACTTTATTTTATTAACAAAACTGGTGAAAATATAGTGTTAACAGCTATTTGTTTCACTAGAAAATACCTGTCTTTAAAGTGGCTGCTTGAGGGTGGTTGACTGGGTGCTGACCCTCTCCCGGCTGAGAAGAAGCATCTGATTGGGTGGGAGCCAGAAAAGGAACCAATGAATGCCAGGGGAAGACTGGAACTGACCGGGGCTCCACATTGGTCCACACTGCAGAGGAAAACAGAAGCATTTAATCACATCCCATCATGTCTTTAACTTCATGCTGCCCCTCAATGATCTGAACAAAGAAGACTTCCAGAAGATGCTGTTATCTTGTTTGGGATGTTGCACAGCTCTCAGTACAGCATCCACACTTGTGTTGCAATCCTAATCAAATGACTCACTCTGATAAGATCCAAACATCAGATTGAAAAGTCATCATTCATCATATTGTGGATGCAAGTAACTCAAACACAGGCCACTACTGGATCTTTGTTTAGCTGTTTATCTGGTTTTCATTTGGAAAACTGCCAGTGCAGAGAAAATCTGTGCCACAAAAGCACTCTGTTACTTACATGGTTAAGTCACTCCAACAAGAGCAGATTCAAAAGTACCCTATTTCTTAATAGGCAAAATGGAGAACAGAATCTGTTACACTAAGTCTGAACAAACAATCTAATAAAAGACTGTACAACTTAAATAAAAAGCTTCTCCACAAAAGAACTGAGCAACAAAATCAACCCCTTCAAAAACAAACACTTCTGGGTTGCATAATGCTGTAACTGAACAGTAATGAATATGTGCTGTATTTGTGCAGATTTGGCTTCAGCAGCTGTTTTACAAAGAGAAAGACACATCACATATACTAACCAAACATGCTTAATCCTTGACGAAGATACTGGGGGTTCTCTGATGAGAACATAGTTGAATGAAATCCTTAACGTTTCTCCAAAAATAAAATTTAAAAAAAAGTGTGAGATCTTTTAAAATCGTCCTTTAACTAGGATAAAGAAATCCAAGTAGGGCAACATCTGTAATGCAAAATTTGGTGCTGATATTGCTTGGAAGCTCTCAGAAGACATGTGGTCGGTCGTGTCTGTACCAGCTTCATCCTTTCACGGTTATTACTGCATCATATCCCGGCATGGTAAGAACTGTACAGCTGTGGCACAGAGAAGCTGTCCTGTTTGCATTCAAGACAAGAATCGCAGAATGCCGCAATCTCTCACGAACACGAAGCGACGCAACATTCAGCGGATAAAATGTACTTGAAGTTTAAAAAAAAAACTTTAGTCGGTTTTATAAGAATTTAACGACGTAAAGTCGAGATACAAGTAATATAAATATGACTGCAAAGTTCCGCCTTCCTTTGGTCTGATTACCCCCGATGCCCTCTCTCCCTGTTTGTTTACATGAGCAGCTTGGTTAGGAAGGGGTTAACAAGGCCTCGAGCCCATCCACGGCCTGGGTTAAAACATCCACCCGGGAACTACGCAGTCTTTCTGGGCCACGTCAATCCGACCTTTGCGCTACATTTTATCTGCGGGGAGGGAGAGTTGGGTTCGGTAGGTTCAAGGAGGCACATCTGGCCCCCCGGAATAAAAGCAGCTGAAGGGTTGATGTAGAACAGAACCGTAAGGGCCCACGGTGCTGAAACAAGCAAAAACCCAGGCAGGGTAATAAAAGCGGGTCTGTTTTCAAGTTGTAGGAGTTTGAATTGCCTTATTGTTGCAACGTTCACCCCGTTCAGACCTTTATTAATGCCTGCTAATTCAAATAAGAAAGCACAGGAGTTACATTTTAGCAGTTTCTGATAATAACCTGAGCCTCAAGTGAACCGTTCCGAATTGGACCAACCTCTCGGGAACGCCCCTGGTCGTGCACCCGGCGTATCGACAGAAGCAAATATATATATATATATATAACAAAAAATATATCCTCATGTCCCAAACATAAAAGCCGTGTTCACTTGTAATGTAAATGCCCAAATAACTTAATGCAGTTTAACAAACACAGAACTATATAGTAATTAACTCAATGAAATCGCGAATGCACCTGTTTTAATCAGGTAATTGTGCGAGCAGACACAACACGAAATCAGCTGTATGAAGGAATCTCATCCAACGTGGATTTAATTCTTAAAAACACACAGACACACGCATAAGCAGATGTCGTAAATATGGTGCATTCATCCATCACCCTCCTCTGTGCTTTCTAACCCGCTCTTCACCTAACATGTTCGTATTAACCATCGCTTAGAGCTCGTGTTTTCAGTAAGCTGCTCGTATCCTACCTGGCCAATCTGGCCACAAAGCCGAGGCGAGATAACCGATAATAACGACTACAACACGGCGATAAAAGCAGCCACGGTGAAGACTCCTGGCTCCAGTCAGCGGGGGAAAGGGGGAGTGAATCGTAGTTGCTTGTTGTATTTTCTTACTCCTGTTCGTCTCGGTCAAGTTTCAAAGCCAGCAGACGAGTGTACAGATGCCGACCCCGACGGGGGAGCTTTAAAAAAAAAGAAGCGGCGTTTGATTAAAGAGAAAATCCGTCAGTCTACAGCAGGTTAGCTAACACTCCGCGCGGACGACATCCGCGCACTCCGTCCGGTCCGTTTATAGTTGTTGTTTTGTCCCAGAAAAGTCCTCGTGTGGCATCTCCTAGCCTCCCAGCCTGAGAATACACCTTTATTTTAATCTCGTTCTGTCTCACGACCCTTTCTTTCTCTTTCCCTCCCTCTTCCTCTTGTTGTAAACTAGGCTGCTCGGCCCCCCCGCATTCGCCTCCCCCCCTCCTCTTCTCATCCTGTCAACCTCGCCCAGCCTTGTCCCGCCCTCCTAAAAAAGCAGTTCGTCTATTGGACAACACAACTGTCTGTCATCAGCCCCCCGCACAACCTGATTGGTTGGCTTGTGCGCTGGAATGCCAGTCATATGCAAATGTTACCCGGCTTCACGACGGCAAGATCGTCTCAACTCACGACCTGAGTTTGTTTTAACAATTAAATAAATACAATAATGTAAATATTATCTACCCTATATATTTATCAACGAAAACTATTTGGTGTTCATATATGTTTCATAAATTCGTGTTTTAAGCGTTTCTTTCAAAAAGCCCACCCCTGGCTCGTGTCATTGGTGGAAGAATCGTAGTAAACCTTGACTGACGGGTGAGGCAGCGAATCAGATGCGAGACTCAGATTTAGGACGACCAATAGCTTAATAGAAGTGTGAAAAGAGACAACCCCATTACACATCCCCAGCTTCGACTTTAATACCTATAAAGACCATATACATACAGGGAGGCGCCAATGTGCAATTTATTATTTACCTGTCACGGTGTATGCACGCACAATAAGTCAGAATGAGTATATTAACGCACTTTTTAAAAAACATAAATAGTCCAAAGTGTTTCTGATTGTTTTCTATAAATTTATATACAACTGTCTGCTGCAAATCCAACTGATTTTTCTAAACAAACATAAGCAGATGCACTATAAATTCTTTGAAGCTCTCTTTTGCTTTTGAAATCACACAAAACATAGAGAGACGAGTTACATAATTTTCCACCACTAATTTGAAATGTGCAATTTTCAGATAAAACACCCACAAAGGCACAAACAAAAACAAAGACAGCATGCAGGGCTGGTTGAAAAAGACAGGGAAAATGGGTGGAACAGGCTAAGACTGGAGAGGACCAGAGGGTAAAAATAGACTGAGTCATTTTCAGCAGGAGAGGTGAGGGTAAGGGAGGGAGGGAGAGCGGGTGGAGAAAAACAACTTGTGAAAACAGAACTTCTCACAGAAAGGAAAGGTGAGTTGGGGATCAAAACGGATGGAAGAGGAGGACATTTGACAGTATTTATGTTGTATAACAGGTAAAATAAAAATTATTTTAGATGTGTCATAGTGTAAGAGTCAAGTCCAGCCTGACTCATGTTAGAAAAATACAATAAAGGGAGGGTCTCAGTTAGCCATAGCAGCCAGTCAGCACATCAGGAGTGATTTCTGACCAATAACATTGTAAGAAGCCACTGGCAGCTGCTGCACTCAGTAGAAAGATTAACTCTTTCAATCCCAAACGATTAAAGTAAAACTAAGATTATTGCATTAAGAAAAAGAATAACTCTGGTAGGAAGAGTTAAACTTATTGGAAGAAGAAAAGACTGTCAGACAGTGAGAATGAGAGAGATTAGGATTAATCAACTGAGCTGAGCTCTACTAGCCAATCCAGCTAAAAGTGAGGGAGTTGGGAAGCCTGATGGTGAGTTAAAAGCAAAGAGGGTTAGAGATTACATGTAGTTACAAGATGGATAAACCCGTCACGCCTTCAGTAATAAGCAATATGGTCTATTACACATATGGCTACTGAGTTTTCTCTTTAACCAGACTTGAAAATCAAATTAAATGTAAAGAATGCAGCAGATGCATTTATGTACGTACAAATGATGAGCAGGCAAGAGAGTAAAATCTGATAAATGCATGTGCAGAAAACTGCACAGGAAAGGTGAAGTCAGCATGAGAAGATAGTGGGAAACCACACAATTCTTTTAGTCTTTTAAAATATGTAATAAGTCATAACGAGTTCAAGAGAAGGTGTGAAGAGAAACCGTAAAAGAGAAATTCCCCACAAGCCGAGCTTAACTCGCTCTCCTTGCAGTTGTGCTGGCGGTGCAGTATTTGTGTAGGTGTTCAGCACTTTTTGCTGGCTGTCTCCTCGCGCAGACATCATGCTTTTAATGTCTRTACGTATGCCTGCGTCTGTACCCCGCAATTACACCTGTCAGAGGCACGTGATCCCACAGAGGTAACTCTTCCTCCTCCCTTTTACCTTTCCCCGGCGCCGCACAGGAGGAGCACTGCACTCGCTCTCTCTCTCCTCATCCCTTAATTCATCTTCCACCCCTGTGCTCCGTGTCTCTCCCTCCCACAGCCCACCATTCGCTCCGTCCAATTATAACTCAATCTACCAGTTGGATGCAGTTACCATGGCAACAGCCATGTTGGGCACAGGTTCCGATGCCGCCCATGGTCGCCAATTTGCCATAGATCACAATATGCCGCCTCAAAGTGAGACAAATTATTTTTGATTACTAATGGCCACAGACAGGGGCGGCTTTGTGCGACAGAAACAACATTTTTCTTTTAAGATGCTGCCTTTGTTAGAGTTTTTCAGAAAGTTGGGAAGAAAATGTTGCCATTAATTTGTTCAGGCTGGTAAATAAAATAAAAACTGTCCAGGACTGAGAATAAAAAAGTGAAGGGGTGATAGAGTACATTTAYAGCTCCATTAATCTTATTAATAAATTATCAGCAAAGCAGAAAATATCTGAAACAAAAACTTGAGACTACTGGAGACATGGGTCAATTAATGAGTGAAGGCACTTGTAATGTATGCTTTTGGCCATTTGGGGGCACTACTAGCCTGCAGATAAATAGCTAGGACAAAATGAGCAGCACCAGAAAACTAGAGCCATGACTGTGAAGCTAAAGATGCAAAAAGAAGGAATGGATGAGGAAGAAATTCAGAAGCAAAACCCAAATGATTCTGAACTTTGTGATATGAGGAAAAGATGAAATCTGTGATCTTTTCACATCAATGAGCTTGGCTTTGGCCTTAAAGAACAAGGAAAGAATCTGAATCTGCTTTAACTTCATGCATGAACTCAAAGCCTTGGAGCCTCCTCAGAGGGAGAAGCCCCACAGCATCAGTGCAATCTGAGGATCTCCTCTGTGAATGTGTCACCCAACAGGATCATTGCTGCACATGACTTTTAGTTATAAGTCTTGAGGGCTTCACACGTGCTCCAGCGTCAGTCTAGATGGCTGCGTGATCCAGATGTGGTTGTTGCCAGGGCCAGGGAGGATATGCGGGGCTTTAAGTGTTACGTAAAGCAGAGGCGGGAGGGAGGGAGTGGGGATGTTATTCCCGGGTATCCGTATCCGGGTAGACCAGGACGAGGAGAGCAAAGTGGAAAGGAGGGGAAGCGAAGCCACCGCAATGCGATGAAGCAAAGGGTTAAAAAAAAAAAGTCATAATTCTTTAGAAAGAAAAATCAAAAATGAGATGGAAGCAGGGGGGCGATAGAGCGAAGAGGGAAAAAGTGCGAAAAAGTGTATTCACGTGTACTTAAGGGAGTGTGACATGTTTACTCACTGCTCCACAAAGAGTGTGTGCATAATTCTGTGTCAGACATAACGAAACATTATAAATTATGCATTCTTCATGATGCAAAAAGGTCGTTTATTAAATCAACTTTAACCGTGAAGCATTAACACTTCCATTTAAAAAATAAACATCGCTGTCAGATACGTATCGACATTCAGAGAGAATGATTTTACAACGAAGTGTGATGCAGTTTAGCTACATGTTTGTGCAGAAAAAAAAGTGCACTTTGTCCTCCAGCTTTAGAGGGGGAAGCCCTTCAACAACACTGAGAACACCACGATCAGTAAAAATTACCATGAAACAAATACATTATTGTTTTAGAGAAAAGTTATTTGAAGACATTGATTTGTCAAGATGAGTACGCCACTAAAAGTGTTCAGTCACCTAAAAATTTCAGAGGAAGCCCTCCGATTATCCAAGATTATCTCTGGTGTCAGGAAATGTTCACTAAAACAGACGTAACAAGAAGGAGGCGTCACAGTTTGTTGGTGTGTAAAACACATGTGAGAGAGCTGAAGTTCCCCCRACTTGGAGTGAGAGAGAAACACACACACACACACACACACACACACACACACTGCACACTCACGCTGCACACTCACACACTGCACACTCACATGCAGACTGCTACTTTTACTCATGAATATTCTGCGTTATGTACGAAACACATCAGCATGATGTTTGCTTTGTTGCCATGGCAACAGCCGTGTAGCGCTCACACATCATATCCGGTTCTGGTTGATTGACACTTTGTGAGTCTATCTTCTACTAGTCACACACACACACACACACACACACACACACACACACACACACACACACACACACACACACACACACACACACACACTGATTCTCACCTGTGCCAGGACGTCCCATGATAATCTCTTTTCGAGGGACGGGGTGCAGACTTTCTGCTGGCAGNCACACACACACACACACACACACACACACACACACACACACACACACACACACACTGCATGCAACACAAACACGAGGCTGTAACACACACGTCACTTTGTCGGATGTTACATTTTGTTTTTTTTTTTTTAATGTCACATTGGTCCATGCAGGGGAAATGAATCTCTTATTTCTAGGAATTTTTTAAATACAATTTGTGTGTGCTTGTAGGAATATAATATTAAAAGAACTCATCAAGAACCTTTATTTTAATTGTTTTCTAGTATAGCCTGCATTTATCTCACTTTAATTAATATTTTCATAAATATGAATATACAGCAGTTTGTTTTACTTTTAATAAAACTGGAGTTCTCATCGGTTTAAAAAAAATTGAAAATATAATTAAAGTCACATTTCTTCCTGTCATAGTTCATTGAATTTGTAAGTAATATTTTAAGAGAAAGATTAAATAATTTAGTATTTCTAATAAAAGACAGAAAAAAAAACGGTCTTTCCTGCTGAATCGGTAAACATACATAGTAGACGTTTAGTCAGTGAAGATGAGGATGAACATGAGTCATTGCTCTCCTCATCATACAGCTATAAATGTGATAATAGTAATATATGTTTAGTTCAAGAGATGCCAAAATGAGTTTTGCATAAAATCAAAAAGTTTTCCTTTTGTGTTCGTTAAGACAGCATTACTTCAGTAAATATTTAAATTAAATTCAAGGCCCATCAGGAATGCAGAGCACCTGCTGCCTTTCATGCCAGAGTTTCAGACTGAGCTCTTCTTACTCTGAGAAATAACTATAAGCACTTTGGCAAACCTTAAAAATAACATTATGTTTAATCTCATGAAATAATGCAAGATTTCAGCCTTACTTTGTGTTTATTAATGACTCTCGGCAACAACCACAACAGATTTTAGGTCAATGTCTGTAAAATTAACTTAGAAACATTTGTGTGCTGGCTAAGGCTGATTAGCTGTGGCTGCCATCTTAATTTGAATTGCCTAGGTTAATCAGTTGTAAACTAACATTCATTGATTATTTTGTTAATGTTTAATTAAAATCTGTCTCGTGATTCATGAGATATTTTGCTAACAGACATACAGAGTTAAATAGTTAATGGCATCATTTTAAATAAATATCTTGTGCRTTCTTGTGTGTTGGGGATCAGTCTCAGCTACTACTACACTACAGTTTTATTACGATATCTGTAAAACTGACACAGTTATATCTATTTTTGTATTTGCTAAGGCTTAGGTGTGGCAGCCATCTTAAATCGAGCTGACTCCAAAATGCAATCTGTAAATGTACACCAAATGAGTCCCCTCTGAATGTTTCATTAAACTGAATCCAGCGTTTCTGTAGGTATTTTGGTAACAGACAGACACACAAACACTTCACGGCAAAAACATTGTTTGTCGTACATTGCTTGTGGTAAATATCTGCAAAGATCATTTTAGCACATTTTTAAAAAGCACAAAACCACCCTTAAACGTTACAAGTTGTAAATATACTTCACAAGCTGATAAAAATACACGCACAGCTGCACAAACTTGCAGCTCACAGACACAGCAAATGTGCGATTAATGCACTTCTTGCACGCACACAGCCAAGCGTGCATGCCCTCACACAAAGAGCCACTATTCGTTCACTCAGGGTTCCTTCACATGCAAACAAGGGGGATCTCAGGAGGAAGCGTATACTGAAAACGACACTGCTTCTTCTCCTGCCCTGTCCACTGCTCTGTCACACTCGTGAACGTCCACTGAGCACACAAAAAAGAGAGGGCAARAGGGGACGTGAATTACCCTGGCTGACACTAAGTAAATATAAACAACAAAACTGGGAAGTACACACCTTCACCTTTTTTTCTTTCCTCAGGGCTCACGTGCACACAGCCACACCGGAGTTTGAGAAAAAAATTCTTCACACACCCACAGAAAACAATAAAAGCTTACAGCGTATAAGATACACACACACAGAGACTTCAGAATCAACCTGCTTCGGTTTAGTTGGCCACAGAGGGTGGCGTACGCCTTGTTCCACTATCACAAGTCGCTATTAAACAAACAAAAACATAAACATACACACAGCAAGTCAGCAGAAAGAGTTTGTAGAGTGGAAGCACAGTTGCGAGTCAAGACACTGGCCACACAAGCACAAAATGAGCATCAGAGAGAGACTTACGCGTGATCTGAGTTCGACCTTTACATTTTTTTTTATTCTCCATGATGTCATACAGTGCTCACTCACAATTCTGTCATTCTGGTTCTAACCTAAGCACTTTTTTCTGTAAAGAACATAAACGAGGAGAGGAGAAAAAGCTTTGATTGTCCTACACAGTGTTCATCTAGCCCACTCGTTTTATACCCATTTTTGCTTTTGGCTCTAAATGTTAATTTGTTGTGTAGCACTGATTCAAGGCTCAACAACACGTCTTCCTCCTTACAGTTCTAATGTTTCCCTTTTTCTTCAGAGGACCTCTTGTTTTGTTTGTTTTATCAAATCTTCCAATTCCTTTTCTATTCCAAATCCATGATGTTGCACTGTCTCAAACGTATTGTAAAGTATAATTGTTGCCACTTAGCCTTGTTTGTAACAACTGGAAACATTAGAGAAACTCTCCAATATCGACAAAGCTAATCCTCTATAATGTAGAGGATAATCCCTATAGAAAATACAAAGACAGCGCAGCATGCATGTCAGTGCATGCACTTTTTTTTGTTTGTTTTTTCTTTGGTGCTGCATTTTAAATATTGCACACACACTTGGAGTAAAACAGAAATTATTTATGTGTTTATACATAGCAACATTAAGGTCTTTAATTTGGGGTAAGTCTGCTCAATTTCAAATGGTGTTTAGTTGTATTCATATTTATTCCTTAATTCTGAAAGCAAAAATTTGTTTCAAATTTACTGATGGGATGTATTATTTTTATTTTTCTGTGTACGATAAGTAATTTTTACTGCATATAGTGAGGTATTAGTAATTAGAGTGATTTCATCAKCCTTAAACTTAATCTGGTGACTCGGAGGTTCTGGTTTCAGAGGTTCAGCAGCTCATGTGATCAGTTCTAGCTTTGCTTTGTGTTTCCAGCAGATAGGAGGGTGGTGTGATGATAACTGAGGGGGAGACATATGGGACAACAGCATGCCGACAAACAGTAGAAAATGCACATGAATATAACCCTCTATTAGACGCTCTGTCTTCTTATATAAAATAAAAAAACATGCAGTTTTCAGATTTAATATTTTTTAAATAAACAAATATTTTTGTCTGAAATAGATATGTTTTATGAATTAAATACAACACAGTATAATAAAATGTAGTTGACATTTTATAATCAAGAACTTATTATTTTTATATGATTATTATTATTTAAAATGTCACTATAAAAAGTCATTTTATTTGTTATGTATAAAGAAAATTATATTTTGAAATTAAATAAATAAATATTTTGATTTGTGTGTGTGTAAAACAAATAGAGAATTTTCTTCAGTTACAGTATCATTTTTACTTGCTGAACATTTTCAGTATTCAAATGTTTATTTTGCAGCAACTCCAGCTAAATTCCTAAGAGAGTTTTGCCTTCACTCTAGATTTATTTGCACAATTACTACATTTTTATGAAATCCAACTGTCTGACTGGTACAATGATGATAAACTTATTGAAAGAAAAATGCTTATTGGAAATGCTTTTTCAAGGCCACTAAACAAAGCATCTCGTTTTAATTTAGGCTGTCATCTTGTGTGCTAAACAGTCCTCTAAATGCACAAAAATATATTGAAATTTAAGAAATTTTTGTAAATAATTTTATCAAAGATAAATATATTGTAAGAAGAAAGGCTAAAAGATAAAAAACAAATAAAATAACTTAGTAATAGTCAGTTTTGTTTTGTAAACAGAACAATATATGTAGATTTCATCCAGGAAGAATGACTTTAGTAATACTTTTAAAAGTCTACTTTCTCTRCATGATGAGTAATTATTTTCACTTTGAATTAGTAATCAATATATATTTTCAACTGATTATGCCTGAATAATTAACTATTGTTATGTATATATCTTTGATTGACAAGATGAGTTTTTTCTTTTTAATTTTTGTTCTATGTGGCTGAACACTGATTAAAATTATTTTTCGGCATGCACAAATAAATTATTCAATAGGCTCGTTCAACACAGCTATACTTTTCTGCTGCCGTCCTTTTTGCAAAACTTCACTGTTGTCCAAAAGGTCTCTCCTCCCTCCTTCAACATCACTACATTCACATGTACACACACACACACACACACACACTGATTCTCACCTGTGCCAGGACGTCCCATGATAATCTCTTTTCGAGGGACGGGGTGCAGACTTTCTGCTGGCAGGATCAGGGGTAACAGAGCAGTGGGAGAGGGGTGACAGGGGACTGGCTGCTGGACCTCACCACCGAACCCAGCCCCCCTGTTGTCCTCTCGTTCTCCAGAACTGTCCGTGCTACTCGGCAAAGGAGCTGTCACTGTTGTGCTGACGGTAACTGAGAGGGCTTGGAGGGCGTTGACAGGAGTGTCGCTGGTAGGCAGGGAAGAAGGTGTCGGGGACACAAGTACCAAGGTTTGGGCTGGGCTTCGCAAGAAGACAGTTCCACCCTTGGGTACTGTGGCTGCAGCTGCATTAATTGGGACAGGAACCTGGAGGCCAGTTACAGGTTGAGGAGTGAGGGAAGTTAGGGTTATGTCTTTAGATGAGGTGTTATCTCCCCCTCCCTCGTTTCTGCCGCCTCCTCTTTCCAAAGGAGACTCTGAAAATTTAGCCAGAGGGACCTCAGGATTCCTCACAATGACAGGAGAGTCACGCAAGGTCTGTTGGGATATAGGGACCAGGCGTCGAGGCCCCCCATCGGTAGTTAAAGGAGAAGGAGGAGTTGGAGACACTAGCAGAGGAGGGGGTGAGACAGCAGAGGAGGATGGGGGCCTGCTGGAGGAGGGGGTGTTCAGTCCTTTAGGTTGGGGGAAGGTCGGCGTGTGTGTGTGGGAATGTGATGCTGGAGTTTGGGGGGACAGCACTCTGAAAGAGTTGTTGAGGTCTCCCTGTTCCAGCTCTGTTTTGGGTGTGTAATCGTGATGGTGTGAGGGGAGCTGGGGTGGAGGAAGTGCATCGGGTTTTCTCTTGCTGGGACTCATGGGGACTGTAAACGTTAGGTTGGTTTGGCTGGAGGGCTGGATACCTGAAGCATGTCTCTCCCTTTCTCCTCCTCCAACTTGGGTCATTGGTTTACTGCCCCCTCCCCCTCCTCCCCCTGTGCCACTGGGCTGCCTGTGTCTCCGGTGTTGCAGGACTGGCGACGCGGTGATCGGTGAGAAGTTTGCCGGCCTGAAACCAAACAGTGGCGAGGGTGAGGGAGAGGGGGCAGGGGAAAAGGGAGACTGATTGGAGATAGGGGAGAAGGATGGGGTGCCAGAGCGGGAGCTTCCTAATGACACAAGCATATTGGCAGCCTCACACTCGTCAAAATCAAACCGTGATGATAGTTCATGAGGAAGGAGTGAAGGGAGGACCAAGCGTGGTCTGGAGTCTCCTCTGCTACTGGTTTCGCTGCTCTCTCGTGATGTGTCGTCCCACTCAAACTCGCTGCTTGTTCTACCTCGAAGATCTGAAGGTGTGATTGTTCCTGAGCTGCTTCCCCCTCCTCCTTTTTCTCCTCCTGCAGCCTCAATCTCTTTGGTCTTCATGGACAAGTGTCTAGAGCAGTATCCCCGGCGCTGAGACTCTTTCATACAACCATCCCTGGAGCACAACCTCCTCCACTGCTTTCCATTAAACTTCTTACGGATGCCATTAGGCGTGCATACCACATCACCCTTTTTGTATTTCTGCTGAGCTAACGAAAGGGGAGTCCTGGAATGAGTGGAGGCCGAGGAAGTGCCCACGCCAGAAGTGGGTGTAGAAGTCTGGGTGGGAGTGGTTTTGGATGGAGGTAGGTTTGAAGTGCTGTTGCTTATTTCAGTTGTCAGTGAGGCAGGAGAGGGGGGTGGCTGAGGACATGTGATGGTAGGGTGATGGGGTGGGCCTGCACCCCGCACCAAAGATAGCTGAGGGGAGGTGGGAGGGAATCCACTGGACTTGGAAACAATGTTTTTGCGCTGAGAGGTCCCAACATTTGAACTTGGACTAGTGGTATGTGCCATATTAAAATGAGATACCTCAACATCCTCCTCTAGAGTATTGGGCTGTTTCTGTCTTTCTCTGTCAGAGAATTTATTTCCACATTCACGAACTGTGATTGCTACAATACCAGTAGTTACAGTGGAGGAATTTATGGGTGGATGTACACTTCCATAAGTATGTCCTCCTGCAACTGTTTCATGTGAGAATCCATGACCCAACCTTGCTCCACCTCCCAGCATTCCCATTCCACTACTTAACTGGCAGACTTCTCTCTCTACCTCCATTTCCTCCCTCCGCTCCCTCTCCTCTCTCTCCCTCTCACGGTCACTTTCTTTTGCCCTCCCACCATCTAACTGTGAGACCTCCCATGGAGGGGTGAGCAGCCTAAGGCTCTGTCGAGAAACCCAAACAGCCTGACCAGTTAATTTTCTCTCCACCTTCTCCTGTCCGACTCCTCCTCCCAGAGTTCCTCCATCTTCGTTCAGAAGCACCTGGTAAGGAAATGAGACCCCAGGGTGGGATTCAACCTGAACAACAATCCCTTCTCTGTGCATCAGGAGGCCCCCTTCCTCTCCACCAAACGGTACACATACTCGTGTCCCGACAGCCACAGGTGACATGCCAGGTGGAGGGGCGTCTAAAATGAAGTCCACAGTGTTTTCCGCTTTTGAGGTTGGTGTCACCCTGGTTCCATCGTACAAAGAGTATTTAACGAGGGTCTCCTCTCCTTGTAGCTGAACTTCAACAGTACCCCCAGTCACTGTACGCACCACCCCAGGTCTAAACACAGGAGACCGGAGGCACGATTCTCCACTGCCCACAGTCTTCATAGGCATCTTTATTTGCCGAGCTAGCACTCTCTGGTTCTTCATGCCTTTTGCCATAGCATCAGCCAGCCCCTCTGAGAGGCTGACCTCTTTGAGGAGGGAGTTATGGAGAGGAGCTGTGCTGTGACAGTTTGGATGAACGTTTGGTCCTGTTGCCTCGACCACATCCAGATCAGCAGAGTGTTCACTAGCTGTATCTGTGGAGGAGGAGCGTACTGAGTTGGGTGCCCCCTCTAGTTCATTTTCACCAGGTAGTGAGTCTTTTTCTTGATGGGGTGCTGTCCTGAGGGTTTTATCCTTCATGCATACAAAATGGTTCACTTCTTTAAGTTTACTGTCCACAGTTAGCACTGACGGCTGATTACCTGAGCAATAATCACTTCCAATATTACTGCTATTTAGAGAAGTACTATGGCTCCCAGCACATTTATTACTACTGCTAGACTTACAGTTAATACCACCTGAAGTATTACTGAGAGTACTGCTATTGGTGCTCACACTAATGCTTTTATTAATACTGTTACTAATATTACAACTCTTTAAAGTGTTATTGGGTGTACTCACACTATCACCAACTTTGTTGTTGGCATTGCAGTAATTGTTAATAATGAATGAAGGGATGGAGGTAGAAATATTACTTGTAGCACTTGCATTTTTAGCAAAGTGTTCATATACGTAATTTTTCTTGGGTACACGGGCCTTAAAAGTGGCTGTTTTCCGGCTTGAAACGGAGCCTAAACTGGGGGTGTGATTGGTGGACTGCGAGGGTGCAGCTTTGGAAAGTGTTGCTGGAGCAGAGGTCAGTAGTGCTACAGAGTTAGCACTATTCCCGTTTGTGCCCACTAATTTTTCCATTTCTTTTTCCTCTGCTTTCCTTCTGTCCATCTTATCAGACTCCACAGGTTTCTTCAGCTCAGTAGGCTCCTCCTTCGTGCCGATATTGCTGTTTGTTGTTGGTTCTTTATCTGAGATGGCGTCTGTGTGTGGCGGGCTGTGTTTGTGTTTGGAGAAGGTGCTCGGTGCGTGCTGGGTGGTTTTGGCAAGAATCTCCTTCTTGACTTTTTTGGGGTCTTTCTCTTGGAGAGGCTGAGAACCCCCCCTCCTTTTCCCCCCTCTGCCTCTTGTTAACGGAGGAGAACGTCTTCTGTTTTTCTTCAGGGGTCTCATCTTTTCTTCACAGTTTACAAAGTGCAGCAGATTATGTCACACTCCTCTTTTGTASTTTTTAAGGCACTCTTTAATTTCGTATCTTCCACAAAATTCTCTTCTGCACTATTTCCATTCGTCTGTTATCTGCAGCGCAGTCTGGAAAGGAAGAGGGAGATGCAGAAGACAGGTGGTCATTTACTGTCTTCATAATCAAAAATTGCTGAGAACAAAAATGACGTCATACCTGGAAGTCCACTACACTGCACTAGACACATTGGCTCAATATCTGAAGTATGCTCTCATGCACCCTCCATGCCTGCTCTGAGTCTCTAAAATGTGCATGCATGCATGCCGCTGTGTGCTCATCTTTGCTTAGACAGTYGCAAAAGATTAAACCTGGATTCCAGAGTTACAGAGGGGAACATTTCAAAACAATTTATTTAAAAATAAGGACAGCTTTTTTTTAGACAAATCAGTGCAAGATTTTATAATAATTAGCCACTCACAAACACACACACACAAAGAAAAATTAATTATAAAGTGTCATTAATATAAAAGAAAGAAAGGAAGAATTTGTTACTTTCATTAAAAACAGCAATTTAAATGTAACACACACACGTTACTCCCACAGTTGCCTGATGCCTTCACTCGACTCCCCCCAGCTACTTCAACATGCGACAGCTTTCTCACGCTATGCATTATGAACTTGATTCTGTGTGACCAACTTGGGAGCAAACATGGCGTTTGTTTTGACTTCCATCGTAGAACTGCTGGCAGTGGCCTGGGTGAGGTCACCACTACAACAGGAGTGGGAGAAAACGAGGAGTGCACGGCTGTTTGGATGTTTGATCAAACAGGCTGTTCTTCTGGAGTCAGTGGGCATTTCCACAGTCATCCTAGCACTCGCCGGCTCCCTCTCACTCTTTCTTGAAGTCTCAGTCTACAGTCGCCTTTTGTCAATGTCACACTGATACTCTCTCACTCACTTTCACTCTCTCTCTCTCTCTCTCTCTCTCACACACACACACACATACTCACACACATATACACAAAAAGACAATATAATTGGAATAATCTGCCTTGGTTATGATACGCCCAAAATGAGAGAAATTAAAAAGCTGGCACAGGATCAGGAACACTCACTGATGCAAGATTACAGGCTTAATACAATGGCACACGCAGACACACACACACACAAACATGTGCGTATGTGCTCCTCTCGATTAGACACAACTCCTCACTCACGTGTGCAAATGCCCGATTTCCTACAAAAGCTGATATTAACACTGGCACACTAACTTATAGAATGCATGCAGGTGCTTTTACTGACATTGAAACAAAGTTTAACACACACACACACACACACACACACACACACACACACACACACACAGGGTGACCTCATTGTTAACTGTTTAACAATTTAAATGAATAATACACGGACTCCCCCACCTGCTGTAAAACAACACATCTCATTCTGGGCCTGAAAAGAAAACRGTCCTTTCACACACTCGTCGCTGCATCACTAAGAATCAACTCGTTATTTTTTTTCCATTATTTTGTTACAGATTGTAAATGCGTGGTGTTAAAATACACAAATTTGAATTAATTTAGCTGTGAAATTGCATACATCCRTTGTGATACCACAGTTTGTCAAATCACCACAACAGCTCAGTGACCTCGTCACAATTTTTTTTCAAGTGTTTCCTGCAGATCTAAAAATGCAACCTAATTTATGAATTAATAACTATGAAACCATTCTCAAAAGATTGTGGATATATGTTTGATTAAACATAAATGTKAGACAGTAGTGGTTTCCCTGCTTTTAGTTTAAAAGAAGTAGTTGGATCGGTCAAAGCTTCCAAGGGAAATGAGTCACATAGATATTGTGCTACAATCAGACACTGCATTAGCTAAACTGAAATAAAGCAAAGTTTGACAAAAAAAATAACACGCCTCTAAGTCCAGAAATGTTTCATAACGATAAATTTAGTAGTTGTGTAAATTGTCAATCATCTTTGACAAACACTAGAAAAGGAAAGCAAAGTCTCTGACTGTAAAAATGCACTTCCAACCAGTCCCAGACCAAGTACCCCATCATTAGAGGAGACCCTGGGGCCTGGACAGGGTGTGCTAGTCTTGTAGACGAACTTCAGAAAACTGAAAAAGGGAGGAAAGAGTCAGAGCTGCATCGCTGACTGGAGAGATGATTAAATAACTTGCAAGGTTCTGATCATAGCTTTAGAAATGTGTTTGGTCATGCTTGTGGCTTTTCAAAAGGCTCTAGACTCTGACTGATAAGCTAGCAGTTAGTGTGTGTCTGTTTGTTCTGAAACTGTGACAGAACTGGATGGTATGGCACACGATGTGCATGTGTAAATACCAAAACAGTTTCAGAATTAGGCACAAGCCTATTTCTTAATTTCAGAGAAATAAATTTTGTTTAGTTTTCAACTTGTGCACATTTATAACAAAGTGGCTGTGATTGTAAATTYAATTGTCATTTTTCAAGCATATTAATTTTCTTCTCATATATCTGTGTGTGTGTTTGGAAAAGCAACCCTCTTAATTAGATATTTTTAAATAAAACCCTGACAAAACTCCACTATTGTCAAAAACACCAGTTTTAAATTAAATTACAGGGTCAAAGTGTATGAATTTATGTATGAACTATCAGTAATTCCCACGCTGTCGTGTGATAAAGAGAAGAGAATCGAAATGTTTCAGATGGCGTAATCCTTCCCTGGAAGATCAAAACAAGTACACACTCAAGGTCAACAAACATCTACAAATGAAAATACCAGATGACCTTTAACTCTTGGTGCGAATGTGTAAAAAAAACACTCCTGGGTGATAAGTTACTGTATAAATTGTCAGTCAAGAATTTGCTTGCAAAAATCAAATGCTGCCAAATCCTGATTGTTCTCAGGGCTGAATCAGGGAGGACCTCTGTCGTAATTTAGGGAATTCATGACACCGTCCAGCTTTTAGAGGYGGCTGGGGGCAAACTGGTTGCTGGTCCGATCTAAAGCAAGTGTAAATCTTGAATAGACAGATAATCACCATCTCCATGGCGCCGGACTGGACTCCCCCCTTAAAGAGCAAAAAGGGGGTTGTTTTCACCCAATAAACCCGCAGGATAATGCAACCTGCCTCATAATGTAACCGTCCTCCATAGTGACACCAAACTTTACACACACACTAAATGCTCTCCCGTACGCCGTTAAAACCCCGTCACACTCACACATCCATCCTGCCGTGTAAACACTCGCCCACACTCACGCACGCAACAAAAGTTTGAATTTCTGGGTAAGAAAATAAAAACAAATTTGATCATTTACATCTAGTGATGATAAAAAAATAAATCAATGCAAGTAAATGAGTTTTTTAGATTTGTGGAAGTAGGTGCATGTAAAGCGTCACGATCAGTCATTTATGAGGTGGTCTCTGCTCCGTGTTGCTACGGGAAAATGAAGTTGTACCGCGTTTATTACTCGACTATGCCACTGTAATAAACAAATGACAGTTTATTGAGTTTGTCAAATGGAGTGCAGCCTCGCCGTGACATGGCACAGGCTGTGTGTGAGATGTGAGGGGCATTATATTTGAAGCCGTAGCTGCTTTCAGGTTGTGCCTACCTCACGAAGCGTTGCGTTTGCACCGTATGCCAATGAGAGCGTGTAAGCAGGCATGCCGCAGCTCATCCCTTTGCCTAAAAGCATTTTATGGGGTGTCTGTTCTGTGCTGTMTGGGCGCAGGGCTGCAGTGATGAGGACGGGGATGGAGAAGTGTGGTGGTATACGGGAGATGAGGACAGGAGGACGGCTGTGACGCCGAAGCTCTTTGGCCCTCCGTGTACTCTTCGGCATGGCAGGGCGTTCTTTGCCCTTAACTGGGTCACCGGGGAACACACTCACACATGAAACAGCAAAATAAAGGGGGAAAAARRA